AGCTGTGACAGCAGCAGCAGCAGCTGCTGCTGCTGCGACAGCAGCAGCAGCAGCGACAGCAGCAGTTGCAACGGCAGCAGCGACAGCAGCAGTTGCAACCGCAGCAGCAACAGCAGCAGTTGGCAGCGGCAGCAGCGATAGCAGCAGTTGGCAGCAGCAGCAGCGACAGCAGCAGTTGCAGCAGCAGCAGCTGCAGCGACAGCAAAGCTGCTGTAGCAGCGACAGCAACAGCTGCAGCATCATTTGCATGCTGGTTGTTTGTTGGTTTTTTGATTGCTGCACTCGGAGTTTGTTTTTAAGGCCTTTTTTTGTCTCGTAGATAAGTAGTTCCAACTGCTGCTGCTGCTGCTGTTGCTGCTGCTGCTCGCGTTGCCGCTGTAGCTGCTTAGCTAAGGTACGCTATCTGGGGTAGTGCACGGGTGTTCACATAGCAGCAGCAGCAGCAGCAGCAGCTGGAGCAGCAACAGCAGCAAAAACAAAGCAGTAGACAGATAAAGAAGCTGAGACACTCGAGTTCGGTTCAGGTGCCTGTACACCTCAATTAAACTTGTATAGCAGCAGACGCAAATGATATCCAATTATGTGTGCTGCTTGCTGCAGCAGCTGCTGCTGCAGCATGCTGCTGAAGCTGTTGCTGCGGCGACAGCAGCAGCAGCTACTGCTGCCTCGGCCTCCAGGGCATCGGCTGCGGAATAAAGCAGAAGGCGTCTGCCTGCTGCTGCTGTTGCTGCTGCTGCAGCTGCAGCAAGCCAGCCGCTGCAGTTTGTTTGCGGGTGTCTGTGTGTAGGGATGCAGATAAATATAAAATATAAAATAAATATTTCAAAAGCCTCAACAAGAAGTAAGAAAAACATTTATATAAAATACACAGCTATACAGATTGATACGCATTTATTATAAACTTTTATGTACACTATATCTATACTTATATACACCACATACACCATCATATATATATATAATATGCATTTATATACGCAAATATATTAATATGCACTTATATATGTTTGTACGCATCTGTATAAGGATATCGCATGCATACACATATATATATATATATATATATATTTCTAAATATGTATGTATGAACATATATAGGTAGATACATAACAATTCACACACTAACACATGAGTAAGTATAAATACCTATATATGCATCAATATATATATGCATAATATATATAGACAAATATAAACATGTATATGCATATATATATATATATATATATGCGCATGCATAGACAATATCTTTGCAGATTTGCTGGCGAGGAAATAACCAAGAAAAAAACAAAGCGACCAAAGACATCTCTTTAATGCATTTTCTTACTAAACACTTACATACATGTATATATATATATATATTTGATTATATATTGATGTCGTTATATATATATATATATATATTATATGTTATGTATAGGTGAATGTATATGAAGGATTAACGCCCATATATAATATATACATTTAGTATTACATATTTACATATCTATATTTTATATAATATAGGTAGGTAGATATTTAATATATTGATGTACATAATGCATATTTATATAAATGTATACAAAACATTTATATAAATACACACACAGAAATATATATATGTATATATATATATATATATATTTATTTATATTTATATATATATCTATATATAGATATATTTAAAAGAAGAATTCGATCAACTCGAATACCAGCGAACGAAAATCATTAAAAAGAAAATAACAGTTCCCAAAGACACTCCGCTGCCTCTCTCTGCTTCTTCTTCCTGCATTCACAACCACACAAACCCCAAACCCTAAACCCTAAACCCTAAACCCTGAACTCTCGACCTTGAATACCGAGATGCAGTCCGAAGTGCTAGAAGAGAGAGTGAATAAAAGAATGAAATCGCTGCGCAGCAGCAGCAGCAACTGCTCTTGCTGTTGCTGCTGTTGCTGCTGTTGCTGCTGCTGTTGCTGTTTGTGCTGCTGCTGCTGGTGCAGTGCAGCAGCAGCAAAGAAGATAGCGTTGGGTGTACGTACACATCGATCTAACAATTTTACGAATTCTCTTCGCTTTTCATCAAAGCCAAACGTCGTGCAGTCTTCGCGAGTTAACAAACCATCCACCACCAAGCCCTCCGGCTGAGCACCCACAAACCCTAAACCCTAAACCCTAAACCCTAGAGGCCCCAGCACTTCAACTCCAAACCCTAAAACCCTAAACCCTAAATACTGGGGCAGTCGAGCAAAGGAGAAACCCTAAATCATCACCCCCTGAACCCTACCCCGCCCAAACCCTAAACCCTAAACCCTCAAGCGGACCCAGGTTTTCATTTCTTTTTGCATGACGGCCGCCCATAGATCGGGTGTATTTTCTTCTTCAGTTGTGGGGTGTATGTGGAGCCTCCACGGTGTCGCTGGCTCTGTGCTTTCTTCAAATCCGAGAGCAAGAAGTTTGTTTTTTCTTTCTGCTTCGATTGTTTTAATGGGTATATTCTCTTTATACGGAACGCTTGCAATAACTGCTGCTACTTCTGCATCTTCTTTCGCTCGCTGTCGCAGCAGCTGCTGCTGCTGCCTCCGTGTAGATACCTTCTGCAAAAACTTCTCCGCAGCATCTCCTGCTCCTGCTGCTGGAGCTGCTGCTGCTGCTGCTGCTGCAGCAGCAGCAGCAGACTCAGCAGCAAGCTGCTGCGGACGAGCCCAACGTGTCTTCATAGGGAGGTTGCCGCTCTTCAGCATTATACCCTCAGCCACCTCAAGGAAAGCCTCCATCCTAAATAAATAATAAATAATAATTAACAATTATGTAAATAATGAATTAATTTAATTAAACTGAACAAATCAAATGTAGCAAATAAGGCAATCAATTAGAGAAGGAAATCTACATAAATTAAAAAACGAATACGAAGAACTAACGAGTATATGAATGAAGATATGAAATAAAGAAATAAATAAATAAATGACAAGAATAGAAATAAATAAATAAAGAAGGAATGAGATAGACGAGCATAAAAGAAGACCCATAAAAAACGAACAAACAAATACGCATACATGCATTAAAAATAAACAAATAAAAATAAATAAATACACAGGCAAACAAACAAACACAAACACACACTCACACACTCACACAAGCAAACAAAAGAAAGAAGAAACGAAGCATAATAAATAAAAGAAATTAAAAACAAAAAGAATAAAAGAAATAAATAAGAGCAAAAGTAAAAGAAGTAAATAAAAGAAGTGTATAAAATGCATACTGTGTGATATTATCGAGTGCAGATTTGAGCAGATGTCTGCAGACTTCTTCTTGTAATTCTTCTCCTTGATCAGTAAAGTCTGGGGATAGTAGAAGAAGAGCATTTAAAACTAATGCCACCCAACTATGCAGCAATACGACCTTCTCAAAAGGCAGATAACTCCCTATAAAAGGAAGAAATGAAAATATGCCGAACGCGCTGCTGTCAAACCGCAGCAGCAACTCAGCAGCAAACACCAAACCTAAATAACAGCAAAAAAACTGAAGCAAACAAACACACAACACACACATTTCAATATACAGCAATCTTTTTCTTTCGTTTACTAATATCTCATTCTGTAAATAAATATCTAAGTTAATAAATATAAACGTATGAAAAAATAAATCGACAAGTATATATATATATATATGTATATATGCATATATATAAATATGTATGAATAAATATACATATATATATATATATATTGATAAACATACATATATATATTTATATACATATGCGTACATCTCTTCATAAATAGAGCTTCCTCTTGTTTTCATTGCTATTTATCTTTAAGGTTTATACTTAGGGCTTATAATTAGGGTTTATGTTTTCGTTGTTTGTTTATTGTTTGTGTTTGCGTGGTTTGCTTGTCTGTTGCGGTGTATTTACTCCATCCATTTATCTGCATTCTTCCTTAGACTGAATCGCCTTATTACATTTACAAATATAAATATAAATATATACATATATATATTTATGTATATGTATATGCATATATGATAATATTATATATACTATAATATTCTGTACATTGTAAAAAATACAATACTAAAATATTATCTACACTACAATATACATATATGTATACATATATATATGTATCTATATCTATATCTATATCTATATCTATATCTATATCTATATCTATATCTATATCTATATCTATATCTATGTATATATATGTATAAATGTAATATATATATATATATATAAAGATTTACTTGTCTAGACGCCACTGAAGTTTCTCCGAAAGTATGCAAATAGCCAAAGATAAGAGGAACAAGAGAATGAAAGACAGCGACCAACAAAATGTCATAAAACTGATCTTCGTTAATTCCGCCGTCCGATGAAAAATCGCCGAAACGGCAAAATGCGTCGCGACGACGATCGCTTGATATCACCTCGTGGGCCTTCAAGCACAAACATTTAAAATATATATCATATATATTATATATATTATAATATATATAATATATATTATATATAATATATATAATATATAATCTAATATATATATATATATATATATGTGGATGTATGTATACATATATATCTATGTATTCAATTAATAGTAATTCCATTTACTTGCTGTTTATATTATTGTTGTTTATATTTAATATTAATACTAATGTTAATATTATTATTAATATTTTTATTAGTTTACGGTTTGGGGTTTAGGGTTTAAGGTTCAGATATCACATGCGGAGGCTTGGTAGAAAAGAGAAATAGAATAAACATAATTAGAAAGAATAAAAAATAAAAACTATTTAGAGGGTAATTATGATAGGAAACGCAGAACCCTAAACCCTTAATAACTCTAAACCCTCAAAAACAATAAACCCTAAACCCTTAAAAACGCTGCACCACATATCACTTCGTCCGTCAACATAACAATAAACCCTAAGCAACAACAATAAACCCTTCGTAAACCTTAAACCCTAAACCCTAAACCCTAAACCCTAAACCCCGTACCTCCCTAATCTTGGCGAACATTTCTTTCGCTTCCATTGACGGATTTTTGTCCTGCATAAACAAAACCCCAAACCCTAAACCCCAAACCCTAAACCCTAAACCCTAAACCCTAAACCTCTGTGAGCGAACCCGATGAAGCCCAAAACGCGCTTGTGCAGCTCCCCCACATCCAGTGCTGCCCCTTAGGGTTTAGGGTTTAGGGTTTTAGGGTTTAGGGTTTCGTACAGGGTGATACATCAGAGAGAGTTTGCGGTAAGCCGAGGAAACGACGCGGGGAGGAGAATTTGGAGGAACTCCAATCGTTTCAAAGTGATTAGGCTGGCGGCTAGACTGCACACAAACCCTAAACCCTAAACCCTAAACCCTAAACCCTAAACCCTACGGCCTAAGCCCTTGACAAGCGTAAACACTAGAGGCTAAACCCTAAACTCTAGAGATAAAACATTAAGCCCTAAACTCGAAAATCTGAAACCCTAAACCCCAAACCCTAGACCCGCGACGACAAGGGAGAAAACCCTAAAAGAGGGTTTAGGGTTTAAGACAGACCTGAAGCACTCCGATTGCAAACAGCGCAACCAAAGCTATCGTTGCTCCTGCACCGCAACACCAATCCCGAACCCCTAAACCCTAAACCCTAAACCCTAATTCTTTAACCCTAATCCCTCCATCTGCAACCCAGCCCCCCACGCAAAAACCCTAAACCCTAAACCCTAAACCCTAAACCCTCAAGCTCGAACTTACCAACTTTCGTGGATTTTCTGTTCCACGGCCTTTCTGTGGCGCAGCAGAAAAAGCAGCAAAGCGCAGCAGCAGCAAACAATAAAAATAAACCCTCTCTCCTTTCTTGTTGATTGCTTGTGTTTCTTTAGGGTTTAGGGTTTAGGGTTTGGTTTCTGATCTGTTCATCGTCATCTTTTCCCTTCAAGCTCCCTCTTGCTACTGCTGCTGCTGCAGCGTCTGCCGCTAAACCCTAAACCCCAAACCCTAAACCCTCAACCGTAGACAGTAAACATTCAGCCCTAAACCCTAAACCCAAAGGCCCCAGCCCCAGATCCCAAACCCTAAACCCTAAACCCTCATCCGTCAGCCCTAATCCCTAAACCCTAGGCCACAGACCACAGATCCTATACCGTCAGCCCAGCCCTACGGCCCAAACCCTAAACCCTAAACCCTCAACCCTAAACCCTGCTCACCGACGCTGGTGATCCATCGCGTCAGAGGCACCACAAAGAGCATATGAAAGAAGATGTCCTCCATTTTGATGAGGGTTGGTTGAGAAAACCCTAAACCCTAAACCTTAAACCCTAAACCCTATGTTCTCAACCGAACCCCCGTACTTAACCCTGGGAAACCCTAAACCCTAAGCCCTAAACCCTAGCATGGCTTTGTCACGTTCAACTCAAATGAAAAGAGAAAACTTTTAAAGAGAAAACAATAAAAATTTAAATGCATGCAGCCACAAACCCAAAGCGCCTGATCGCGAGCTGCCCGATCAGCCCCGGCGCGAAACCCGTAAAACCTAAACCCTAAACCCTAAACCCTAAACCCTTAACCCTAAACCCTAAACCCTAAACCATCAAGTGTAGACGTGAGTACTTAATAAAATGGGAAGGTTTTCATAGAGAGGATTGTCTCTGATTAATTTTAAATGTAATATATAATAACGATGCGCGGTCTTTCAGTTTCCTTCTCCCGCATCTTCAGGTGTATATACACCTCACGCTGCACAAAATATTTGCTTGTTTTTCTTCCTTTGCTTGCTCGCCACACTAATTGCTTCCACTCCACCAGTCCAATGCCTCTAAAACTCTAAAAGCGCTCCACGGGGACCCGCCTTAAACCCTAAACCCTAAACCCTAAACCCTAAACACTCGTATAGCCCAATATCGAAATCCATTTTTCACTCTCTTTTCGTTCTAAAGGATCGGCTAATGGAGATCCGACCCAACCCTAATCATAAACCCTAAACCCTAAACCCTAAACCCCGCTGGTAGGGGCAAGACACCGAACCTTCCACCCTTAACACTACTCCCTAGAACCCCACACCCTAAACCCTAAACCCTAAACCCTAAACCCTAAGATGTTCACCGCCTTCTCGGCATCCCCAACGCCAAGCGAAAGGCCGTCAATTGCAGCAGGCACAGCAGCAGCAGCAAGAACAGCAGCAGCAGCAAAGACAGCGGCGGAGACAGAAGAAGCAGCGCCAGCAGCAGCAGCAGCAACAGCAGCAACATCAGCAAAAGCAACAACAAAAACAGCAACAGGCGCAACAAAGTCTGCTGCAGCAACAACCGGTGTTGCGGAAGCAGCAGCGACAGCAGCAGCAGGAACAGCAACAACAGCAGCAGCTGCAAAGACAGCAGCGCCCACAGCAACTCCAGCAGCAACAACAACAGCTGCAGCAGCGGCAACAACAACAACATCTGCTGCAGCAGTACCGTCCGTTGCGCCCACAGCAGCACCTGCAGCAGCAGCAGCAACACCTGCAGCAGCAACACCTGCAGCAGCAACACCTGCAGCGGCAGCACCTGCAGCAGCAGCAGCAGCAGCAGCAGCAGCAGCACGAAAGGTGAGATGCTGCTTCAAAGTCGACCCGCTGAACTTCTCTCCTTTCTTTTTTAAGTGGGAGGAAATTCCTTCTATTGAGAGCAGCTGCTTCGCCCCGTACATACACCCCAAACCCGCTGCTGCTGCAGCTGCTGCAGCAGCAACTGAAGCAGCAACTGCAGCAGCAGAAGAAGAAGCTGCAGCTGCTGCAGAGCCATTAGCTGCAACAAATGAAGAGTGCAGCTCTCCCTGGGATGCAGCTCTTGAGTTCTGCTGCAGTCGAGCAGCAGCAGCAGTAGCAGCAGCGGCAACAACAACAACATCGCCAGCGCCAGCTGCTGCTGCTGCTGGAAGCCCCGAGGCGGCTGCTGCTGCTGCTGCAACAGCTGCCTCACCAGCTGAAGCAGCAGCAGCAGCAGCAACGGCAGCAACACCAGCAGGTGCTGCTGTTACTTCAAGGCGCTGCAGTTCTTCATCTGCTGCGCCTTCTGCTGCTTCCACTTCACCTGCTGCTGCAACTGCAGAAGCAGCACCTGCAGCCGCAGCACCAGCACCAGCACCAGCACCAGCAGCAGCAGCAGCAGCAGCAACAGCAGCAGTAGCACCTGCTGCTGCTGGCGTTGCTGCATCTGCTGCAATAGATGGAGATTGGACGTCTTCATTTTTAGCCCTTTGCTTGCTGCAGAGTATTTGCAGACATAAACCTAAACTCCTTCTAAGTCATATCCCTGCTGCTGTTGCACCTGCTGCTGCTGCTACATCTGCTGCTGCTGCTGCTGCTGCTGCGGGACCTGCGGTCGTTCAAGAGGAGGAGGAAGCCGCAGCAGAAGAGCAGCAACGGCAGCAGCAACAGCAGCATCAACAGCAGCATCAACAGCCACAGGAAGTTTCCGATTCGCCCGACAGGGAAGCAGCAGCAGCAGCGTCTGCATGCTGCTGCAGCAATGTGCTGCAGCAGCATCTCTTGCAGTTCGTGCGGCTGCAGCTGCATTCGCTTCGCAGCAGCAGCAGCAGAGCAGCAGCAAGGGCAGTAGCAGCTCTCTGCCGTGGCCTCTTGTCTCTCTACCAGCAGCAACAGCAGCAACAGCAACCGCAGCAACAGCAGCAGCAGCAGCAGCAGGTTGAGGAGCTCTTTGTGCTGCTGCTGCAGCACTTCGTTCCTCCTCTGCTGCTGCGCGCTGCTGCGGAAAAAAAGTTTTTGGCTGCTGAGGCGGAGGAGGCTCTGCAACAAATCGCAGCAATCAGTAAATCCATTTGCTGCTGCTGATCCTGCTGCTGCTGCTGATCCTGCTGCTGCTGCTGCTCCTGTTGTGCTTGCTGGCCTTAATGCTGCTCCCACTGCTGCTTGTGCTGCTACTGTCGCTGCTGCTACTGTTGCTGCTGCTAATGCTGCTGCTGCTAGTGCTGCTGCTGCTGCTGCTGCTGCTGCTGCTGCTGCTGCTGTTAGTGCTGCCATTTTATATCAGCAGCTTCATTTAAGTTTTGGCGTTGCTGCATATGGGGGACTTCGGTTGCGGTTTGCATGCGTTTTGTTGCTGCTGCTGTTGCTGCAGCGGTCGCCGCTCCGCCGCTGCTACCTGTGCTGCTGCAGCTGCTGCAGCGGCAGCTGCAGAGCCCTAGGACGGCAGCCCCCGCAGCAAAGCTGCTGCTGCTGCTACTGCAGCTGTCACTGAGGCAAGGGGAGCAGCAGCAAACTGACCAGCAGCAGCAGCAGCAGCAGCAGCAACAGCAGCAGCAACAGCAACAAGAAGGGGAAGCGCACACAAAGAACGAAGGACGACTCAATCCTTCTGCTGCTTCTCCTGCTGCAGCTGCCTCCAACTCCTGCCCTATGCAGCAGCAGCAACAACAGCAGCAGCAGCAGCAGCAAGAGTTTTTGCTGCACCAAGTCGTGACTCCTTGTTTGCTGCTGCTGGCTCCTCTTGCGCGGGCCCCACAGCTCAGCATCCGAGAGGCTGTTCGCGCTGCTGCAGCAGCAGTCTGCAGCTATAACTGGAAGGAGAGCAGCAACACAAATAAAAGCAGCAGCAGCAGCAGCAGCAACAGCAACAGCAGCAACAGCAACAGCAGCAACAACAACAGCAGCAACAGCTGCAACAGCAATAGCAAATGCGACAGCAGCAGCACCAGGAGGAGCAGCGACTCCGTCAGCAACAGCAAAAGCAGCAGCAGCAGTAGCAGCAACAGCAACAACAGCAGCAGCAACTGCAATGCCAACAGCAGCCTGCACTGTACAGGCAATGAGAGGAGCAGCACGGATAAAAGCACCAGCAGCAACGCTGCTGCTGCTGCAGTATCTGATGATGTAGGTGAGGCTGCGGCGAAGCAAACCCCGTTGCCGTTTGCTGCTGTGGCTGCTGCTTCTGCTCCTGCAGCTCCAGCTGCTGCTACTGCTGCTGCTGCAGTAGCAGCTCCTGCTGCATCTGTCCATACACCCGAAGAAGAACCTCGCCTTGCACTGCTGCTGTCGCTGTTCAAGCCAGAAGCTGCAGCAGCAGGAGCAAAAACAACAACGGCAGCAGCAGCAGCAGCAGCAGCGCCAATCGCAGGAGCCTCAACAGCTATCGGCACAGTGACCGCAGCAGCAGCACTAGCAACAGGTCCTGCTGCTGCTGCTGCTGCTCAGCAGCTTCTACGCGAGACGTGGAAGCTGAGTCAAATGCGCTCAAAAAAACCTACGCGCCCTCGCGCTGCTGCTGCTGCTGCTGCTGCTGCTGCAAGGGGCGAGGGACTCGCAGTGCAGCAGAAGCTGCAGCACAGCAGCATCAAGCGGCTACCAGAGGAGCATTCGGAGCAGCAGCAAAAGCAGCAGCAGCAGAGCCTGCAGAGGAAGACGCAGCAGCAAAATCAGCTGGAGCAGCGGCAGAAACAGCAGCAGCAGCAGCAACAGCAGCAGCAGCAGCAGCAGCGGCAGCAGCGAGTTGACGCAGGCGACTCCCGCAGCAGCAAACGACAGGATGCCTCGATTGAAGCTGTAGCAGCTCTGACAGCAGCAGCAACAGCAGCAACAAACGCAGAAGACGCAGCAGCAAACGGACGGATAGCCGCAGAAGGGTCTCCACCACCTCCGCAGCAGCAGCAGCTGCCAGAGCCTCAGCAGCAGCAACAGCAGCAGCAGCAGCAGCAGCAGAAGAGGCCTTGCAGCCCCCTTCCCGGAAGCTGTCTTCGTTCAAACAAACGAATTAAACCCAAACCACTCGCTGCGCCGTTGCAGGCAGCAAGCCCATGAGCAGCAGCAGCAGCAGCAACAGCAACAACAACAACAGCAACAGCAGCAACGCAAGCAGCAACAGGAGCAACACACGCAGGAGCAGCAGCAGCTACAGCAGCAGCAGGTTTTTAGTAGCTGTTGAGCCGTTGGCAGGACTGCGGAGGGTTGAAGCCGTTGCAGCAGCAGCAGCAGCAGCAGCAACCGCAGCAGCTGCTGCTGCTGTATCCGTCTATACACCGCAGATTATATATGGATGTGGAAAGCGTTAGCGCAAGTGCCGCCTTCTCTCTTTGTTCGGAGCCCTCAGTTGTAAACCCTAAACCCTAAACCCTAATCTGTTGGTTTCAACAGCATCTGGCTGGGAACTAACAAACGCAAGACGGCGCCTTCAGCTAAATTGGGGTGTACATACACCTCAGGTCTGCATACACTGCAGGTGTACATACAGCTAAGGTGTATATACACCAGAGGTGTACATACGCCTGAGGCGTGCATACGCCTGGTATGTGCATACAGCTGCGGTTTGCATACACCCCAGGGTGTGCATGCAGCTTAGGTGTATGTACAGCTGAGGTGTACACTCAGCTGAGGTGTGCATACACCTGAAATGTATATACAGCTGGGGTGTATGTACAGCTGAGGTGATTGCAGGCGGCAGTCTGCCGACTTTAAAAAATATTCAAATTTTGAACTCCGCTATTTACAAATGTATTTACTTCATCACTCCCAATAATATTCATCTGTAAATATATATATGCATATATATATATGTGAACATATATATATATATATATGCATATGCACATAAATATATATATATATATATATATATATATTTGTATACGTAGGTGTATGCATATAGAGGAGTTATGTATATGTATGCGTATATATTATATATGTGTATGTGTATAGATTTATATAGATATGTAGAAAATATATATATATATATATATATATGTACATATATATATAGATTTATATAGATATATATATATATATATATATGTATATATGTATAGATTTATATAGATATATGTATATCTTTATGCACAAATATAAAGGTAAACGAATATACGTAAGTCTATGAATGAACATAAAAATATAAAAAAGTAAGACAAAGATTTGTTTGTATTTAATTTTGTTTTTTGGTTTTGTTTGTCTCTCCTTCGGCTTCAGAAAAAGGCAGCAATTTTACAAGAATGTTTGTTTGTTTTTTATTTATTTGTTTATTGTATTTGTTTTATTATTCTTTATGTAGCGTTTGTTTTATTATTTCTTTTATTTAATATTTGTTTTATTTTTATTTATTTTGCTGTCTTATTCATTTTTACTTAGTGTTTTGTTTTATTTGGGATTATTTGTTGTAGTATTGTGCTTTTGTATGTGGCTATTGTAATATATATATATATATATATGCATATGTATACATATATATGTATATATGTATATATATATATATATATATATACATATAAGTATATATATATATATATATATATATATATATACATATTGGCGTCTTACAATGTTATTATATTTATATTTTTAATGTATTCTACTGTATATAATTTTTATATTTACGTATGAATTATATTATATAATATTATTTATTTATATGTTGTTTGATAGACAGCGGAGGCTAGCAGAGAGAGAAGACGCAGAATAAACAGAAGCCGCACTCTGCAATATCTTCTCAAACAATTTGCTCTTAAAAAAGGCATTTAAACATATCTGCTGCTCCTGCTGCTGTTGCTGCTGCTGCTGTTGCTGCTGTTGCTGTTGCTGCTGTTGTTGCTGCTGCTGTTGTTGCTGCTGCTGTGATTGTTGTTGTTCATGCCGTTCTTCTTGTGTGTGTGGCTGCTGCTGCTGCTGCAGCAGCAGCAGATTTTCTTCTGCTGCAGCAGCAAGGAAGTCGGGGTATGAAAGCAGCGCAGCAACAGCTTCTCCGCTCTTGAGGGGCCCCCTAAACCCGAAGCCGCAGCAAACCAAATAAACTGCTGCAGCTCCTGCACAGAGATCTGCTGCTTGTTCTGACGCGTTGCTGCTGCTGCTGCTGCTGTTAGTGTTACTGCTGCTGCTGCTGCTGTCGTTGGTGCTGCTGATGCCTTCATCGGTGGTGGCGTTGTTGCTGCTGCTGCTGCTCTTGTTGATATCATTGCCTTCCGAGCTGCTGCTGCTGCTGTCAGTATCACTGGTGCTGCTGTTATTGCTGCTGCTGTTGTTGTTGTTGCTGCTGCTGTTATTGCTGCTGCTGCTGCTTTCACCGATAAAGGTTAGAATTCTTTGTAGGGAATTGCGCGGGTCTTCATCGAGACACAGATAACTGATAAACTTCCGCAGAGACACTCGAGGCTGAATACATATATATATATATATATGTATATGTATATATATACATATATATATATGTATACACATATGCATGGAACTGTTCAATCTTCTCACCGACTTCGGGTTGAGGGTTTAGGGTTTAGGGTTTAGGGTTTAGGGTTTACTGCATTTTTGTCATCTTTGGTTTCCTCCAGCAAGGCAATCGAATTTTCTTCTCTTGCTGCTGCAGCATTTGCCGCTGCACCATTTGATGCTGCAGCAGTTGCTGCAGCTCCTGGTGCTGCTGCTGCTGTTGCTGCTGTTGCTGCAGCTGCTTGTGTTGGTGTAGCTGTTGCTGCTGCTGCTGCTGCTGCTGCTCCAGGAGAGAAGGCCTCCATTGTTTTTTGCTGCTGCTGAGCCGAAGGCACGGCTTCATCAAATGCCAGCAGAACTTCAAACAACAGCTGCGGCAGTAGCTGCAGCCGCTGCTGTTGCTGCTGCTGCTGCTGCTGCTGCTGTTGCTGATGGAAAGGAGTAGAGGGCAGCACAGGCAGCCAGCAGCCGCAGCAAAGGAGTTGAAGCTGTTTTAAATTTATTTTTTTATTTAATAAACTCCCAGGGCGACGAGAAGAAGAATAATCAAAAGACAGAGCGGCTTCTTTCATCTGAGACAAAACAAACTCCGCAAGGGTTTAGGGTTTAGGGTTTAGGGTTTATCAACACGCAAAGGAATTTTATAGAGACTTCCAGCTTCAAAAAGCAACAAAACGAACGGAGAACAAAAAACCGCTAAACCCTAAACCCTAAACGCTAAACCCTAAACCCTCAGCCCTGCAAATACAACTAACAGGCCAGCGTCCTTCTCAACAACAACAGCACCAGCAGCAGCAACAGCAGCAGCAGCAGCAGCACGAGTAGCAGCAGCAACAACAGCAGCAACATCGTCAGCCGTGGCATTCTCCTTTTTATTTTACTAACTGCGTTTATTTGCGATGCACTTTTTCTTTATTCGTTTTATTATTATTATTATTATCATCATCATCATCATTAATGCGATTATTATTTAAATTATTATTATTATTATTAGTTTATTATATTCTGTTTACGAGTTTTAGTTGGCTTTGGTTTGGTGTGTCTGTAGACCCCAAGAGAAATGCGAAGAGCAGCTCAACAGCATCAGCGCTGCTTTCTGTTGTTTGCTGCATTTTCAAAATAATATTTTTTATTTCATTTAAACTCATCTCCGAAACAACTCCAAACGCAGGGGCAGACAATAGGCGGCATCGTAGTGTCTCCTGTGCTCACACAACACAAGAAGCTAACAATTAGGGTTTAGGGTTTAGGGTTTAGGCTTTAGGGTTTAGGGTTTACGCATTAAGGTTTAGGGTTTAGGGTCTTGAGAGGAGAGAATAGGATTTAGGGTTTAGGGTTTAGGGTTGAGGGGCTAATGATGAAGTCTTATGGTTTTCTGCCTTATGGTTTAGTGATTAGGGTTTAGGGTTTAGGGTTTAGGGTTTAGGGTTTGCGTGCTTCAAGCAGCAGAGTAGGGATTTGATGTCCGCCAGACGCAGCAAGCGAAAAATCGCCAATGAGCTGCCGCACAAACTGCAGCCAGCGGTTAGACCCCCCACGCTCAATAGCAGCAGCAGCAGCAGCAGCAGCAGCAGCACCTGCGTCTTCTGCTGCTGCTGCTGCTGCCGTTGTCTCCGAGTTTGCTTCGCATTTTTGCTGCCCTATTATCAACTGGAGGCCTGAAGTGCAAACAACAGTTTAGGGTTTAGGGTTTAGGGTTTTTGTTCTAGGGTTTTGTGTGTATTGTTTGGAGTGTGTAATGTGTTTAGGGTTATTTAGGGTTTAGGGTTTAGGGTAGGGTTTATTTAGGGTTTAGGGTTGAATTAGGGTTTAGGGTTTGTGTGCATTGCCTTTTATTTGTATATCGTAGTTTATATCTTCTTCTTTTTCTACAGCTGTTTTCAACTCATAAGAAAGACAAGAAATGAGGGTCTGACGAGTTAGGCTTGTAGCAGCAACCCAGTTGTCTAGTTTGCTGCTAAGAGCAGCAGCAGTAGCAGCAAGCTGCAGCATTACGCTGCTTCCCCACAAGCAGCAGCGCCGCACGCGCAGCAGCAACTGCTGCTGCTGCTGCTGCAGCAGTAGCAGCACTGCTTGCTGCTCCTCTGACTCCAATCCATACACAGCTGCTGTTGTCATTCTGCTTTCTCTTTGTCTTACTGAGTTTCCTTTGAAGCAATCAAAGGCAATAAATAAATAAATATAAATATATATATAGTTATAAATAAATAAATGTTAATACTATGCATTCGTCTTTGCTGCTGATGAAGACCTCTTATTTCTGCATCTTTTGCTTGCTGCTGCTCTCTGCTGTTGCTGTCTTCGTTTGTCCTCTGGAGGTGCTGCTGCTGCTCGCTCTTTCTCTTTAGGGTTTAGGGTTTAGGGTTTAGGGTTTAGGGTTTAGGGCTTCACCTTGAGAGGCATTTTCTTTTTTGGGTTTTTTCTTCTCTTCCGTCGATTTGAACAAAGACAAATCGAAGGCATCAGCAGATGCCAGCACCTTAGTTGCTGCTGCTTCCACAGCCTGCAGCAGCAGCAGCAGCAGCAGCAGCAGCAGAAGTAGCAGCAGCAGCAGCAGTAGCAGCAGCAGCAGCAGCGCCATTAGAAGAGAGTCCATAATGACAGGAGGGGGCGTTCTGCTCTTAACACCAAAACCCTAGACCCTAAACCCTAAACCCTAACCTCTAAACCCTAAACCCTAAACCCTAAACCCTAGACCGTATCCTGTACGTTGTAAAGGCGTTACCTCTAGTGGATGTTTTTTGTTTTTTAATATGTTTGTTTCTCCTTTTAGAAGAGCAGAGAGTATGGCGTTGACTTCGCCTTGTGCAGTTTCTTTAAGAGAAATATTTAATTGTTTTGCTGCTGAAGTTTGCTGCTGCCGCTCGGGTAGAGGACAGCCCGCTACGGTGTACAGACAGTCGAGAGTAAACTCTTCTAATGATAAATACCTGAAAATAAAACAAACAAATACATCTAACAACTACTTCTTTTACTTATATTAAACATATTTGTAAGAGTAACAATAATATTCGTAATAATTATAATAGTTATAGTAATAATAATATTAATAATAATAATAGAAACAAGAATAATCTCAATAATATTATAAACATATAATACGCAAAGAAAAGGAAAAATGCCGCATTCCTAAAAACACTAGCCTCTTTCTACATATAATATATATATATATATATATGTATATATTATTATTATTATTATTATTATTATTATTATTATTATTATTATTATTATTATTATTACTGTGCATGCAGATCCGTATGAGAAAAAGGTTTGGTGTGAACATTTGCTCAACTGGCGTTTTGCAAATAATGCCCCGAAAGAAAACTCAAACCAAACAAACAGCACAAAACGAACAAAGAATTGAGGTGCATATACACCACAAAGCAAACAAAACATTATATATATACATTAAAAAACAAAGAACGAGTTGGAGTATATATATACAATAAAGTAAACAAAGACGTAAGCTATGCATATACAATAAAATAAACAAGGACATAAGGTATATATATATATTATATTTACATTATAAAATAAACAAATAGTTGAGGTGTATATACACCTCGCGATTTCAATTTCTAAGTTGAGTGCGACCTGCGCTGCGAGTACATCGCCGAAGGCTTCAAATATTTGCATTTGTTGAATTTGTTTGTGGAAGGCGGCGGCTTGCTGTCTTTCTTTTTCTTCTAAACCCCAAAGACACTCACTCAGTGCGTCTACCCGCAGGTGAAGCTCTTCCTTATATACACACAAAGCAACGCTCAACACTCACACGCTTAGGGTTTAGGGTTTAGGGTTTAGGGTTTAGGGATTGTTAGGGTTTGGCTAACCCTTAGATAACGATAGTTAGCAGCCCTAATAAACCCTTTTCAGTTAACTCTAAACTACAATACTAAACCTTAATAAACCCTAATAATATTTAATAAACCCTAATAAACTCTCGTAAACCCTATTAATCTCAAGTAAACCCTAATAAACCCTAATAACCCTGATAAACGCTTTGTATTTTCTCTAGACAACACTGAACAACTTTGTCGACGGGCCCTAAACAACAAGCAAAACCCTAAACAACAGCCTAAACCCTAAAACCTCTTTTTTAATTATTCCTAATAAACAATCTAAAACCCTAAACCTCTCTTAATTGTCCCCAAACCAACGAAAAAAACATATCACACAACAACGCACTGACAATTAACTCAGCGGTGCTGCTGCTGCACCCCACAGCAGCAGAAATAAATACAGCAGAAATCACCAGCAACAGCAGCAGCAGCAGCAGCAGCAACAGCACAACAGCAAATGCAACAGCAACAGCAGCAAAAACAGCAGCAGAACCACCAGAGCCACCAGCAGCAAGAACATCAGCAAAACACCAACGACAGCAAGATGAAGAGAGTAGATTATTAATGAAGAAAAAAAAGAAAATAAAGTTAATATATTCACCTTGATGTGCGTTTGTTTAATGCTAGACCCTAAAATAGCTCTTGATTGGGAGTAGAAACAGCAGAAATTATTAATTACATCTTCAGCCCAATCTCTTTTCTGCAGTCTTCGTGCGACTTGGCGTTGAATTTCAATTTGTGTAGTCCAAAGAGAAAAGTAAAAAGAATGAACCCAGTCAAATAACTGCAAGGTTGTACAGACACCACAAACATACACACAAAATCAACATTAACATTCGCTTCAATACATATTTATTTTCTTTATTTAATCTATTTATTTGCTTGTTTGTTCATTCATTTGTTCACTTATTTTATTGTTTATTTATTTATTTATTTATTTATTTGTTTGTTTATCTATTTAGTCTATTTAGTGGTTTGTTTGTTTACTTATCTGTTGATGTGTTTGTTTGTTTGTTTGATTATTATATCGGCTATTCAATGTGTATTAAACGCACCAACATTTTAGTATAAATAACCCGAAGACCCTAAACCCTAAACACTAAACCCTAAACCCTAAACCCTAAACCCTAAATCGTGTGTGCGTACTTGTGCTATTGAGGTGACGTAGCCGTCTGCTAAACATTTCCAGTGAGTGTAAAGAAATTGAATTTCTTCTTCGCCTAAACCCTCTTCAAGCCGCTCTCCCCAAACGCGACCTGTGCAGCAGCAGCAGCATCAGCAGCAACAGCAACAGCAGCAACAGCAGCAACAGCAGCAGCAGCAGCAAGAGGAACAGCAAGAGAGAGAGCAGCAGCAACAGCAGCAGCAGGAGCCAGAACTGCTGCAGTTGCAACACTCCAATGATGTGCGTGTCCATATATATATATATATATATCAAGATAAGTAGATAATTAGATAAATAAATATAAACATATATATATATATATCAATAGATATATGTATATACATAAGTACGTAAATATATTAATATATCTGCATATATATATATATATATATATATATTTATGTATGTATATATTTCAATCTATTGATATGAACCAATAAACTGCAAACCGTGACTCTGGATAGGATTATTCCAGTAATTCAGGGTTTAGGGTTTAGGGTTTAGGGTTTAGGGTTTAGGGTTTACTAGGATTACCAAGGGAAAAGGTTTGAGTGGTTTGTTCTTTCAATTCTTCTTTGTTTGTTTTTGGTTGAATACTCTGCGCTTCTTCGTGCGCCTGCAGCGGTGAAGGGCTCAGCGGCTCTGTGAATAAAATAAATATAATAAAATTAATAAAATAAAATAACTCAAATAAATCAAGTGCAGTAAAACGGAGAAAGTAAAACAAATAAAATTGAACAAATACAAAACAACAAACGCAATATAACCAATACAATAAAAAGGCAATAAAACAAATACTGTAAAACGAGCAAAATAAAACAAATAATATATTCAATTATGCTGCTGTTGTAGCTGTTGCTGCTGCTGTAGCTGCTGCTGCTGCTGTAGCTGCTGCAGTATCTTTTCAATACCTACCGTCGGTGGAAGTAGCTGGAGCTCCGCTGCCCTTTGCTGCTGCTGCTGTTGCAGGCCCTGTTGTTGTTGCTGCTGCTGCAGCTGCTGGTGCTGCTTCTGTTTCACCGGCTGCTGCTGCGCCTGCTGCTGCCCCTGCCGGTGTTGCTGCTGCGCCTGCACACTCTGCTGCTGCTGCTGCTGCTGCTGCAGTTTTTTCTTTGGCTTTGAGGGCCTCCACCTTCAAATTCAAAACCTTGTCAATCTGAGCTTAAACCCTCAATCTTAAACCCTAAACCCTAAACCCTAAACCCTCAGGCAAATCTTTACAGCCAGCAAGTAATGTTTAAACCCCCTCTACTCTAAATATAAAATTACTTTTTCTGTTGCTGCAGCAAAAGCCGCAGCACTGTCCGGGGTTGTGAGTTTGAGAAGCCGCGGCTCCTCCTGCAAAAATATTAAAATAAAAAAAGAGAAACAAGCAAACACGTCAACAAGGGTTTAGGGTTACGGGTTTATGGCTTAGGGTTTAGGGTTTGAGGGTTTAGGGTTTAGGGTTTAGGGTTACATGGATGCCAAATGCAGAGATAAATTCCTCAACGAGTTCTTGATGGGAGTCAAAGGAGAAGGCCAAGTCTAACGGCGACACCTCCGAAGAAAAACAGAAAAAAACAAACAACAGAATATCAATTAAGTAGGGCTGCAGAAGGAAATATAAATGGTAGATAAACCCTAAACCCTTAATCCTAAACCCTAAACCCTAAACCCGCATTTTAAAAGCAGAAAAATATGCTTCAAGAAACAGATGTATAGGCATATGCAAAAGAGGAGACGGCTTACGATTTAGGGTTTAGGGTTTACTGTTGAGAGTTTAGGGTTTAGGGTTTAGGGTTTAGGGTTTAGGGCTTGTCAGAAAGACGGCAACAAAGGCGAAAGCATAAAGCCAACAGAAAACGAGTATTAAGGAATCAATAAATTAATATTGAATGATTATTCAAAACGCAATAAAAAGCAAAAAAAGAATTCAAAGAAGATGAAGGTGAAATCCAAACAAAGACACAAACCAGGAGAACGTAATGCATAAAATAAATCAAACAAAGCAAACAAAACAAACAAAACAAACAAAACAAACAAAAACAGAATATTTAAATAAAATAAACAAAATAAACAAAAACAAAGACAGAGATTACTTGGTTTGAATTTGTTTCGCTGGTTTGGCGTTCCGTTGTCTCAGCTGCTGCTGTTTCTTTTTCAGAAGCAGCAGCAGCAGCATCATTTGCTGCTGTTTGTTTCTTTGCTTCTTCATCTTCTGCTGCTGCTGCTGCTGGTGCTGCTGCTGCTGCCCACCGCCCTAATAAAACTTCATACGGCAAATCCAGCAACAGGTGCACCTCAGCGCAACCCTCTTGCAAAGTCTACACACAATATACAAACCCTAAACCCTAAACCCTAAGCCCTAAACCCCAAACCCTAGACGCTAAACCGTAAACCCTAAACCCTAAACCGTAAACCCTAAACCGTACACCGTACACTGTAGGGCGTAAACCCTAAACCCTGAATTGTATGTCTGCAGCTCTTTTGCCTTACAGCTGGAGCATCTAACGTGATGGCAGGAAAACCCTAAACCCTAAACCCCAAACCCTAGACCCAACAGAGAAAGCCTAAACCCTAAACGGAAAGCCTAAGCCCTAGACAAAAACCCTAAACCATAAAGTCCAACCCTAAAACCCTAAAACCAAATCCTAAAAACCAAGAGGAAAAGCATGAAAGCACTAAAAATCTACGGTTTAGTGATTAGGGTTTAGTGCTTAGGGTTTAGGGCTTAGGGTTTAGGGTTTAGGGTGATATTTTGCCTTTTTCTTGGGTTTTTCTTTTGGCATCTGGAGTATAATTTCGCTTCGTTCTCTGAGTATTTGAATTTCAGGTATTTGTTTGTCTTCTTCTTCAACGAAGCCCGCGAGTTTTTGTTCTAAAAGGGAATACTGACGAGCAGTTGTGGGGAAATTCAACAGAATCCATCCGCATCGATCTCCTTCAGCTGTACATACACCTGAAGAAGGCGCATGCATCTCTGCAGCAGCTGCTGTGCGATCGCCAGCAATACCATTTACTTTGCCTCCTCCTTTGTTGTTTCGCCGGTTGTTGCTGCCTCCCTTGCTGCTGCTGCTGCTGCTGCTGCTGCTGCTGCTGCTGCTGTTGCTGTTGTTCGCTGCTGCTTGTACAGGGGCGTTGGGCGGTTGAGCTGGGGGCTTATCAATGAATGCATGCGGACAGAGCCTTTTCAGCTGCTCTTCTGCGGTGTCTGCTGAGTTTGGAGGAAATAAGCTTTTTAGTTTAGTTAATATTAAATCAACAGATAAATCTTCTGGAAGAGGCTCCCCCTGCAGCAAATGCTGCTTCGCTTGCTGCCCTAATAACGCTAAAGATGAGCCTTCATCTGCTGCTGCTGCTGCTGCTCCTGCTGCACCTGATGCTACTGCTGCTGCTGCAGTTGGAGGTTCGGGCTTTTGCTCCGCGTTGCTGTTTGTAGCGGCTGAGGAGTCTGCATTTGCAGCAGCAGTTTCCGCAGCAGCAGCAGCAGCAGCAGCAGCTTCAATTGCTTCTTGGAGTATGTCTTCTAACCGAATGATTTGAAGTTTATAATGCGCAGCTAACTGCAGCGCCAACTCCTCTTGCCCGCTCTGTGGCTTCCCTGTTATTATAAGGCGGAGAGCAGCAGCAGGAAGTTCAATAGAAGCAGCAGCAGCTTCTTCTGCTCTGCTGAGGTCAAGCAAACGGCTAACAAATAAACCCAACTCCTCTAAACGAGGCTCCTCTTGCAAGCCAGCATCAGCACCAACGCTGCTTACTGCTGCTGCTAGAGCAGCAGCAGCACCACCACCACCAGCAGCACTTAGCGAAGATCCATCTGCGCTCGGCGCTCCTCCTGCTGCCCCGTCTGTTGCTGATTCTGCTGCTGCTGTTGCTGCTGCTGTGGCTGCCGCTGTTTCGTCTCTGGGAGTTGTCTGAGGCTGCTGCGGATTGTGTGCAACGGGCGCCGCAGCAGCAGCACTACCAGCAGCAGCAGCACCACCAGCAGCAGCAGCACCACCACCACCAGCAGCACCAGCAGCAGCACCACCAGCAGCAGCACCACCAGCAGCAGCAGCAGCAGGTGCAGCATTTTGTTCATTATCTCCACTGCGGCGCAGCACTGAAGCCATGAAGTCTTCAAAGGGCGGCAGAGTTGGGGCCCCTGGGAATATTTCGCGCTGTGTATCGACAGCCCAGACGCCTTTTAAATTAAAATAATCAAAAATATCTCCTAGAAAAGAAACAGGAAGAGAGCCTGCTGCACTGCTGCGCTGCAGCAGAGCTGTCGGTACACCCGGAGGGGAAGCAGGGATATGCACAAATACCGGCAATGAGGGATAATTACTGCTGCTGCTGCTGCTGCTGCTGTTGCTGCTGCTGTCTTGCTGCTGTGTGGGGTCTGCAGCAACGAAGTCTATTAACCAGGAACGCCACACCCTCGGGGGTATTGTTATCGTATTATATTTTTCTTTGTAGCTGCTGGCAGCTAAGACAATATCTACAATATGATAGGCTAGCTGCTCGCATTCTGCTATTAGTCGAGAGCGCTTTAAAGATTGGCGAATGCTGTTTACACTTCTGCATATCTTTGTCTGCTCTTCAATTGCTGCTGCAGTTAGGATACTACGAGTTTGCTGCTGCAGCTGCATGTGCCGCTGCTGCACCTCCAAACGCTTCGCTTCTTGCTGCTGCAGCAGTTGCTGCTTCACTTCCAAGTTATGCCGCAGCACTTCTTCATATTGCCTTGCTCTGCGTACAGTGGATTTCAATTCTGCGCTGCTGCTGAGAGGGCGCTTGCTTCCTGCTCCTCCTGCTGCTGCTGCAGAAGAAGCAGCAGGGGGAGGAGCAGCAGCAGCAGCAGCAGCAGCGGCAGCAACGCGGCTATTGAGAGCCTCTCTGCAGCGCTTTGTCTGCTCCATCAGCAGCAACTGGCGACGCCTTGTGCGTTCATATGAAGCAGCCTCCTGTGCTTGTCTTGCTGTATGCAAGCGAGAAATCAGTTGTTGATTGTAATCATGTTGGCTCTGCAGTGAAGGGAGCTTTCCTTTCATTTGCTGCAGCACCGTCTCCACCTCCTCGCCGCATGCAGCAGCAGATAAATCCACAGCAGCCGAGGGGCTCCCTAAACCCTGTCGCTGCAAATTCATCTCAAAGCTGTCGATACACTCTAACACAGCACTTCTTCCCTTCGGCTTAGCTCGAACACTGGAGTGCTGCACACCATATATCTCTCCTTTCCCTTCTGCTCCTGATGCTACTCCTGCTGCACCAACACCATTAGAACCAACTGTAGCAGCAGCAGCAGCAGCTGTAGCAGCGGGTTCAGACCCGCCCTGCAGCAATGGAGTTCTGCTGCTAGGGGTTTTGAGTGGAGCAGCAGAGGCACCAGACAAAGGCGAAGACGGCAAATTCAGGCTGCTGAGGGGTGGAGCCCCCAGCTGCCGCTGCAGAGGGGCTGGCTGGGGGCAGCTGCTGAACGATGAAGCAACAGCAGCAGCAGGGGCACAAGCAGCAGCAAAGGTTTTGCTTTCTGCTGCTTGTCGTATTTGTTTAAGCAGGTTTGCTGCTGCCCCTGACTTGAAATTTGTGATATTTTGCATCGCAGAGGCGCTGAGGCGAATTCCAACTTTAGCCAACGCATTTTTTAAAAGAGTGAAGTTCTGCACTTCTGCTGTCAAAGCGCTGCTGAGAGCTGTTGCTGCTGCTGCTCTGCTGCCGCTGCTGCTCTTGCCGCTGCTGCAATTGCTGTTGATGCCGCTGCTGCTGCTTTTCGTGCTGCTGCTGCCTCGTTGGAACCCATGCAAGTGAGGGAGGAGGGAGAGGCGCTGTAGGACCTCCGCAAAGAGGAAGCCATCGGCGAAGTCGGTCTCTAGACAAACGATGGGCTGAGAGAGCTCCAGGCTCTCCAACCAATCAATAAGTGAATTGGACATTTCAAAGAAAAACAAAAAATAAGTGCAAAAAAGGAGAAGTCTGCGGTGTAGCGGCAGCGCGCGGAACGCCACACCATGCAGAGTGACCTTGATTCATGAAAGGGCAATAAATAGAGAAAAGTCTTTGAAATATTAATAAATAAACGATAGTAATAATTGTTATTATTAAATTTTACATATTGAACAATTAAGCGTTTTAAATGCAATTCCCCTGCTGGGGCTCTTCGAAACAACAGGCCTTCAATTCGCTGGCTGCCACTGGAGTCTCAAGGCGATCATCGGGTCCGCTGAACTTCTCCCTCATTTTTGAGTTACATTTATTATTATTTGTGTTTTCCACTATTTTTTTCAACAGATTACTTCCCTTTTTCATTGAATTTTCATGATCCATCCAGCGGCAGCGAATGGCAGGCAGGTTCCTTAATGATCGCTCACCGGACAATTTGCGTGAAGATCTAACGAGGGAGAACGCAAAAGCATGAGATAAACAAAATATTAAATGGAAAACAAAAACTAAGTTCGATATTTCAATGTTAACATGCATAAAAACAAACCCCACCCTCCCCCAGCTCCGGAATCCATCACGGAAAACCCCAGACAATTCGCTTTCTCCATTTGCGTCGTCATTGGAAGTTGGATTTCGATGAATCTGGTCCAGAAAAGGGAGAAAAGATACAAAACTATAATTAAACAGATTGTTTTGATTTTATTTCAAGATGGAGTGATCAGGTTTAGGGGGAATGTTGAGGTGTATGTGCATTGTCTGTCGTTCGATGATGAATACCGCATATTCAAGTTGTGGGAGAAAGACTCGGCTTCTTTAACCATCTTACGGAAATTATTTCTTGATGGTCTTTATTCCATGACGTTTTTCTCTGTTTTATTTCTTTACAATGATGCCGAGGAACTTGAACGATTTGAAGCTGCATATGGCCTTTTCGCAACGGTCTGATTTCGCCTTGCAGGAATTTTCGGCTCCAAGAGAAGGCCGAGAATGCAGCGAGATCCCTCTGAATTCAATGGTAAATCCTTTATAGCTTTTGGTCTTTAAAATGCAAGTGAGGCGAATATTCGATTTACTGCCTCAGGACCCATCAAGTTCACCGCCAGCCTACTGGCAGCCACAACACCGCTGGCAAGGGCCCCCATACGGAGGCACCAGCAGCAGCCTATACGAGGGCGATTCCTTGCCCAGACAGTTCAGCTCTTCCCAGGCTCTCCCAGGCCCTCACAATCACTTCAGTTTCCAGCAACAAGACAAACTGCTGTACGGGTTCAAAGGCGGAGGCGACCCCCAGCATTGCAGCGGAAGCACGCAGCAATGCAGCAACAGCACCATGGCCACCAGCGACGCTTTCGATAGACACGGCTTCACCCAATGGTCCTGCAGTCAACCGCAGAGCAGGTGGTACGCCAACAACCCCAACAGCAGCCGCTCGCCTCATCCACCACCTTCAGCTACAGCAGCAGCAGCAACAACAGCAGGGCGTAGGCCTCACCACGGAAGTTTGCAGCAAGGGGCATACTATCATCACCCGTCTGCTTCCCAGGTCTTTCCTGCGAGGGTCCCTTCCTCGTTTGAGCATCAGGATAGTCAGCTTCCCTGCAGCAGCAACAACAGCAGCAGCAACCACCACAGCAACAAGAACAGCAGCAACAACTGCAGCAGCAACAACAATAGCAGCCCTGCTAATGGCGGCGTAGGAGTAACAGGCTGCAGCAATATCTCCAAGAGGCCAGCGGAGTCATCTCAGCAATTTAGGGAAGGTTGGTGTATGCCAACGGCTGCACAAGAAGCTGCTGCGGCTCCCCGTGCAGCAGCGCCTTATGAAGAGGCCCTGTGCTATCGCTCCACCCTTCCTGCCCAGAGCAGCAGCAACACCAGCAGCAACACCAGCAGCAATACCAACGGCAATAGCAACAGCAACAGCAGCAGCAGCAGCAACAACAAGCCGACAGCAGGAAACTCCTTTGCCCTACCAGGAGCGCCGCAAGCGTGTTCATCTCAGAAGAATTTATCTTCCATTCCTTGCGATGGTATCAAGGTACTGGGTTAACGAATTGATTAATTTCTCAACTGTCTGTACACCCGACACCCCACAGGCGAGAGCGCCGACGGTGCTGCAGCCATACATGCGGCTGGCAGGCATAGTGCAGAACGGAAGGTATAGGTAAGAGAACAGCGGCTTCTTTGGTTTGCTGCAGCTATCTGCACATTTTGCGGTGTACGTACACCTCAGGTATCACAAATATAAGGATACCAGAGAGGGCGCCTCCAGCGGTGCTTGGATAAAATGTAAGAATGTTGTTTGCCTGCAGCAGCGGCTGAAGCCTTCTCTTCAATTGCTGTTTTCTTCTCCTCTCAGGCGCATACTGCACCTCCAACCGAGTATATCGCAAACACGAAACCCTAGAAAGGCATATGGCGTCGGGTGCATGCAGCGGACCACCAGCGAAAAACAGATCCGCAGCAGCAACAACCAACACCAACACCCGTTGTCTGCCGCAGCAGCAAAAACAGCAGCAGCAAAAACAGCAGCAGCAAAAACAGCAAAAGCTGCTTATACAGCGGCAGCAAACGCAGGAGGGGCAGCAAGAACATGAGCATAACCAGCAGCAGCAGCAGCAAGAGCAGCAGCAGCAGCAATGGAAGAGGCCCCGCGCAGGTGTTGCATGCGGCGGATCATCAATGAATGTGCGTATGGGGGGTCTTCTATCGCCGAGTTGCGAATTGCCTCGAAGTTGCTGCCCTCCCCTCAACGGCCAACAGCAGCAGCAGCAGTGTAGCTACAGCGAGTGTGGTGCTGCTGCTGCAGCAGGATCAGCAGCAGCACCCTATCAAGCAACAGCAGCACCACCACCAGCAGCAGCTGTTGCTGCTGGTGCTTTCCATGGGCGCGGGCGTCTTGCAGAGCCTGCGTTTGAAGCAGAGAGAGCAGCAGCACTGCGAGAAGAGGAAGAAGAAGAAATGCGGCTAAGACGAAACTCCTTCACCCAACCGCAGCCTCTCCGCTTCTTCGCCCCCCACCACCACCAACTTGCACATACTGAAAACACTCACAGACCTCTCAGCAGCAGCAGCAACAACAACAACAACAGGAGCTGCGGGCTACAGCAACAAGCTTACTTCGAGCCTTCTTTGTCTCCAAGGGCCTCTGAGGTTTCGACGTGTTTGGAGGAATTACCCCTCGACCAAATACTCCGCCGTCTCTCGCAGCGAGATATTCAGGTTTTATTAAACAACACGTTTATACAAACGCAGCAACAAACAGCACATAACAAAACAAAGGCAATAACAGCAGCAACAACAACTGAAGCAGCAGCAGAAACAGCAGCAGAGGCAGTAGCAAATGCAGAACCAACAGCACCAGCAGCAGCAGCAACAACAACCGCAGCAAGAACAACAATGAAAGGACCTACGCAAGGAAGCGCAAGCGAAGATACGCGCAGACAGCAATGCAATGCAGCGGCCTCTTCAGTTCTGCCTGAGGAATCTGCTTGTCAACAGACGGATAACAGAAACAGCAACACCAGCAGCAGCAAATGCAGAACCAACAGCACCAGCAGCAAACGAAAGAGCAACAGAAGAAGCAGCAGCAGCGACGAGACGCCGCAATACGCAGCAAACAGCTGCAACCGCCGCCGGTCTCTGCCTGTTGCGCCCGACTCCCCAAAAGCCTTCACGCGGCAGCGAATGCAGCAACAGAAGCAGCAGCAGCAACACCTGCAGCAGGGCCAGCAGCAGCAAGAGCAGCAGCAGCAGCAGCAGCAAGAGCAGCAGCAGCAAGAGCAGCAGCTGCAGCAGCAGCAGCAGCAGCAGACAGCTGCTAGGCCGGTGGGAGTGTTTAGCAGCAGCAGGGAAAAGGATAATCATATTTGTCGTTCTGCTTGCACTACGGGTTTAGTTAAAGAGCAGCGGAGTTGCGGTGTACAGACAGATATCAGCATGCAAAGCGGTAAGCAGCATTTAAAGGCGAACAGAAACAAATTTACTTTTACTATTAACACTCAACAAACTCACTCCTTTTCTCTTCCCTCCAAACAGCTGATGCAGCTCTGTTGCTGCCAGCAACGGAATATAGAGAGGAGCGAGTAAAGCGAGAAGACAAAGAAAAAACAGAAAGCAGCAAAGCGAAGCAAACAACTAAGTGCAGCGATACAAAAGCAAAGGGCGTAAACAACAACAACAGCAAATACAAAAACAAATACAAGCAAAAGAATAAACAAGACAATAAAACAAGAAAGGAGACAAAAGGAAGAAACCCCAAACAAGAAAACATAAAAGTGCGTACATTTATTTTATATGTCCAGGTGCTTTTATTTGTTTTTAATTAATCGTTTTGTGTTTGTTTATTAATTGTTGTGTTTGCTTAGCTGTTTAATAATATCGTATTTATCTGTTTCATTTATTTGTTTGTTTTGTTTGTTTGAATTCGCTGCATTTCATATTTATGTTGTTTTCTTCGTTTGCTCATTAATGCGTTTGTCTGTCTCCTCTTCAGGTTTCTTTTTGCGTTAATATTTGTTGTTGATTAGAGGGAAGGGGGGATAGAGAACAAACAAATGAATAGAATTAATTATTATTCTCTAAAATAAATATATTTAAATAAATGCAGAGCGCGAAACGCACAGAGGCAAAACGCCCGAGGGAGGAGAGCAGCCGGCAGAGCGAAGAAAAACAAAAAAAAGAAATTAAAATGCAGCAACAACAAAACGAAGAAATAAACAAAAAACGAAGTCGGCGGCTTTCAATAATACAACAGGACAGACTCGAAGAGACAGAAGTATGGCATTGTTATTGCTGTTGTTATTATCAATTACTAATATTATTATTATTAGTATTATTATTATTATTATTTACTTTTGTTGTATTTATAAGGCTTGCTTTTTTATTATTATATTGGCGTGTTAACTTTACTCTGTTTTCTTCGGTCTCGCTTTTGTCTTTGTTGATTTCTTTTCTCGTTGTTTACTGCTTTTGTTTTACTTCTCTCTGTTTTGTTCCAAGTGCGGCTTCACTTCTTCTCTGTATTTCTTTTTATTTCAATCTATTTCTTTCCCTGTTTGTGTTTGCTCTGTCCTTTGTTTTTGTACGATTCTTCTATAATTGTACTTAATGTTTATTTTTGTTTGTTTTATTTGCTTGATCTCTTTTTCCTGTTATATTTTGTGTATTTGCTTTTGTTTGTTTTAATTTCTTACCTTAGTCACATTTAATATATTTGTCTTCGTTTGTTTTAATTTATTTCTCAGTTATACTCAATATAATTGCTTCAGTCGCTAATTTTATAACGGCGTTTTCTTTTTATTTATTTTATATTCATTTTATTTTTTTAATTTATTTTTCCCCTCAGGTGTTGCGACAGCAGAGTCGGGAGTTTCCGCTGTTATTAGTTGGGGCGCAATTATTAATAAAAGAAAAAAGTATGTCTTTTAATAAACGTCAGTGCCTCTCCTTGTTTGTCTTTCTTTGTGATATCTTCGTTATCTTTTTGTGTATGTATATCCATATATATATATATATATATATGCATACATTTATATGTGTGTATCTGTTTGTTCCTTCATGTAATTCCTCTACTGATTTATTTCATTCATTTATCTGTCTACTAGTAATTAATTAATTTAAATATAAATATATATATATATATATATTATTTTTTATTTATTTATTTATTTGTTCGTAGATGGCGAGGGGTTTGAGGCGTGCGTGGTGCGTAGTTATTGCGCAAATACAAATCGCCATGAGGTCGCCTTTGAGGCCTCTGCGTTGTCTAAACGTCTTCGTCTCTATGAACACCAACTCAGACTGAGGAAATAAGGAAGAAACAACAAATAAAGAATTAAATAAACAAGAAGCAAGAAACGAGCAATTAAATAAGACAATAAACGAATAAACAAAGCAATGAATTAGGCATTGAACAAACAAACAAAACAGTTAGATAAGCAAAAATTGAACAAACAGAACAATTAGATAAACAAAAAATGAACAAACAAAACAATTAAGTAGACAACAAACAAAAAAACAAGACGATTAATCAATAGGAAACATTAAATTGAAACCTCAATAACTGAGAGCGAAGACTCCTATCATTTATACGCACCTCAGCGCCAAAAAAATTAGCCAACGGCGACTCAGTGTAAAAATATCTTCCTAAGAAGTAATTTTAAAATATAATAATCTAAATATCTTCCCCTGAAGACTCAAGAAAACGGAAAAACCCCTAGAAGAGAAACCGCCCAGAGGCATCTAGTTGTATATGTTTTCGCTCTCATTTACTAAAGGAGATTCTGTTACAGAAAGATTTCGGTTGAGTAATGAAGTTAAATGTCTGTAGAAAATATAATTCCTTCCAAACGGCTTTCTTTTAGGATGAAAGACAAAGCAGAAATGCTAATATCCGCGTCCCTTGTCTGACGTGCAGGGTCAGACCACTGAGTAGTTTAATGCCATAGTTAACAGGCAAAACCAGACAGAGAGGCAAATAATCAACTTAAATTTAACATTTAAATACAGAGTTCATTTTACCACTTTTGTTGGTTTTTACATGAAAAACTTTCAACCAAACGAGCTAAGCTGTTGCAGCTCGACATACGCAAAGGAGGGAGGGAAACGAGGAAATAATTTCACTAGACTGGCTATGCATGTAGTAAGGCAAACGCATGGAGAAACACTGAAAAAGACTGTAGTTGTATTCAGGCAAATCACTGAGCTCATTTCTTACTCTTTCTTTGAAAATATGGTGAGGCCCCTCGGCAGCAGCCCCGTAGCGGGGCGTCTTCGCCTCTCGCTTCTATGCAGAGTTAAACACAAAGAATCATATATCCATACATAATGCTCTTAACTCCATGCCTTAATCATTTCTCTCCCTATTTGTATGTGTAAGCAACCTTGTCCTGTGCACTGCCTGGTGCCGAAGCAGTGATTTGCAATGGCATCGAAATGCGGTCGGCGACTGGTGAAGCTCCTACTCTGAATCATATGAGTTCGACATTTCCTGACCTCGACAGCCTTAATGCAAGAGAAGAGGTTCAATCCTCACACTCAGGATCAGCTAAAAACGGACTCTCGCCCAGCGATGCCGCAGAACACAGAGAGAGACTCGAGAGGCGCCTTCAAGCCCAACTAAGAGATGGAAGCCGCAGCAAAAACGTTAAACGGCTAGAAGATCCCATAGCCAAGCATCTTATACGCGTAGCAGGAAACCCAGCATACAGGTCAGTAGCACACGGCCGCCAATCAGCGTTCTACGTCCTGGTGTTCCTCCAAATCACGCATCCGCTGGTTATAGTAGTCTGCATGGATTCATCTACGGATTGATGCGTTTTACCCTCAGGAACTTGCGACAAAGTGTCATCGTTACAGGCAAAACACTTGTCTGCGAGCTCCTAACCAATTTTCCCTGCAGGCGTCTTGCCGTTCGCCGTCGAAGTTTAGCAGCTTTACAGGCTACTTTGCCTTCTTTGCATAGATTCGTGGATACCTCAATTAAACGGCATAACTCGGCTTCGACAGATGATAATGAGCTGCCTCCCAGTAACCTCCATGACCCCAGTTCTATAAAAGCGCACCCACGGCTGAACGCAAACGTTGAAACGCACTTCGTCAGCAACAGGATTTTGCGGAAGGTGCGCCAACTGTCCATGCTGGGAATTGCAAATGCTTTCTTAGTGGCGTATTCGGTCAACAAGCCTTCTAACTTCTGTTCAATTTTTTTCAGGTGGCTGGTTTCCACTCGTATGATGATGGCTGCGTTGCTGAGATGCGAATGCCAGAGCCGGCCGAGAATTGGGGGAATATTCGGCTGCTGCTTTGCCTGGGCAACATCCCCTCATCACTTGGCTCAATACGAAGGGATCAAACACCAACTGCATCCAGTGTGAATTCGGATTTCTTAGATCCTGGGACGGTTGGAACCTTGCTCCGGACAGCAGCCGCACTGCAGTGGCAAGGCGCTTGGATCCTACCTTCGTGCCCAGACATCTTTAACCCACTCGCAATCAGGGCGTCACAGGTATGACACTGCGTGGAGAATTCCGGTATATATGGAGTGGCTGCGATAGGCCGTCGCTGTATGGCTAATGCGTACTCTATGCGTAATGTGTCTTTAGGGTGCGCTGTTTTGGCTACCATATCGTCGAGGTACCGTGAAGGAGCTCATTCAACTGTGTCAGGATAAGGAACTGGCAATATGCGTACCCCACGAAGGAGGTATCCCGGTGCGCACAGATGGGATTTTCGAGAGGCGGCAGAAGAAAGGTGTCTGTCTTGTGCTCGACTCCAGCCTGATAAGTGCTGCAGAGCTGTATCGTGAAAATCAGACAATCAGGCTATCACCCAGTCGACTTGAAAGCCATGAAGGCTCTACAGAAATGTCCAACAAGTCGAAGAAGGCGTTTGCACAAACGGAAAAGCCTGGCTTCAAGCCGGACGTATTCCTATCACTTGGCAGCGATGTTGCGCCGAAAGGGAGTATGGGCCTTCTGCATCCTGTCACAACAGCTTCACTGCTACTATATCACACAAAGCAGTGGCATTTTCCTTCTCTAGGAGGTTCTCCTCATCTTTTTTCTGTGAAGCAAAAACGCTAAGCATCTGTAAGGTCGTGTCGTGTCATCACTGGGCACAAGATCGCATTTAGTTAGGTTTCGCTTCAAGAATCCAGTAGGAAGCACTCAAAATAATCGTTTTGGCGAGTGCTAGTTCAAAAGCGTTGAGCCCGTTGAGCCGGCAACGCGCATGGCGAAACCTTAGACGGTCTCCGTAGGAGGAGCAACGGTGACATATTCGTTGCTGGTTGCTGCGACAATGCTAGCCAGAGTTGTCGCGTAGAAAGCTGAAACTTCGCATGAGCAATTTGCTTGAGAAGTAAAGATGTGAATCGAGTTTACCGATCAGTCCTCTGGTTACAAAAGCTATGATGTTGAGCCTCTTGACAAGAAGCGTGAACACCAGCTCCAAAAGCATTCCGCCCAAAGCAATGTTGCACACAGCGCGCCAGTCGCCGCTTATTGCCGCCTTCGCGAAATATGCCTTTGAGGAGTACGCAAAGAGGATGGCGACGTAGATGCCGCGGACCAAGATGGTAAACTTCCTGGGGAGGTTAAAACGGTGTGGCTTGAATTTTCTTTTGATGTAAAATGTAAAGGAATCTTACCACAGGGCGCTGACATTAGTCAATGTTTGGGCAAGAGCACGTGCAACGCCGCCAGTGTGGAATGGCGAAATGGTCATTGAAAAAAGGAACAGCTCAGTGAGGATGCCAATTGCCAGTGCCGCAAGAAACTGAAAAGCCGAATGATGTACTCTTGTGGACCAAAGGTTCGTTGCCAATAAAAACTAACTCGGCTACGATTTTTGCCAATTGCCTCATCGACTTCCTCAACAGTAGCATAGCGACGAGGGAAACCAGAAAGGATTTCCGCCTGCTGTGCTAACGATTCTTCAGTCTTCGCCTCAGCAGCATCTTCAGGTGCACTAGGCACTGGAAGGCCTGGAAAAATCTTTCGTATGATATCCGTTAGAATTGTTAAACTGCAAGTTTCGTACCAATGACTGACGCTCCCGCGGGGTCGTTCACCAGGATGTTCAAAAGATTATCATCGATCTTGTTTTTGGGCGCGATCACCCCGGCCTCAGGAGCCAAAGCCGCTTGACAGGCCGACATTTTGTGTGATCAATTGGGGTAGCATATAACGACCCTCCAGCCAAAAGTTCAAAATCAGAAACAATGGAGTTCTGACAGCGCGCCGCCGAAGTGAGAGGCTGGCCACACTCAGCTGTCTCGACACCACACCGAAGTGCAATCGCCGTCCTTGCGCATGGCGGATTTCTTTGTGTTGGAATACGAAGGAAACCTCCACCAAGATAAGGGAATCTTTCAAATTCTCGCAATTTCGATTGTTTTTCTTGGCATGAATGCTGTACCACACCTTCTGGATGTGTAGCGTACGGACGGAGTTCTCAGACGAATTCTCGAAAAATAGTTGCACAATTATGCTCACTAATTCGGAAAGCTGAGCCTTCGGCACCTAATCAGCAGCGGTTTCCAGGCAAGTGATTCTAGTTGAGGAGTATACTCGAGGGCAAAACTGTCTACAAAATTCCGCTCGTCAGTAAAACTTGAATTAAGAATATCAGTAAACGTGAAGCTGGTACACTTGTATGATTCCACAATTATACACTGCTTGGTTCGATAGCTGGCATCGGTAAATACAAACGCAAAAAAACTTCATTTCCGTTTCTAGCGAGCTGAATGTTTTCGTGGCGTGGCTTCTTAAGAAGCGATCGACAGCCGGTGGGCGCCTTGATCGAAACGGCTGTCAGAAAGCATGCACGAATTCCACAAAGCATGTGGCAAAGTAACTGTCACAGACTTTCTGCACTTTCACTACATCCACCTCCGCCCATTCTACTGCTGTGTACCACAAAACAAGCACGCAGTAAAGGGCTTCGAATGCCATAGTTGTCAAGAAGGCGGGGCTGAACAAGACCAGCAAAAGCTAAAGCAATCATCTCTATCTCCACCTCTCTTTTCATCACAGTGGAACCATGCATCAGACCGTCATGGGTTCTACATCGTATTTTCTTCTGCTAACCAAAATCACACCAAACTCTTGGTACCGCGAGACGAACCATCCATAAAAACTGACAAAGCGCCACAGTGAACACCACCCTTCAGTTTGCATATCATTTAGGCAAGTGGCCTGGTCCTGTCCAGCCTCTAACATTTAAAAATGGGGGGCCCAAACCTGGGAGGCAGGCTTCGTCGACGAACAATGCGGCTGTAGAATGAAGTCTACAGATAGCCTCCTGGTTTGTTTCAAATGTCGTCCAGCAAGTGAGAAGAGGCTCCTGTCCCAGGTGCTGGGGCTGGAAGTGCAGGTGCAGCGCCCTTGATGTATTGATATGTCATTCGGCCGTAAGCTACAGGCGGCACGTAGTTCTTCCTAATCTTTGGCGCCTGACTAGCCAAGATCTCGTGGTTCCTTGCTGCGAACAATATCCGCACCGCAAAACTAACCTCAATGCAAGCAAACGAAATGCAACCAGCAAGAAATTCACAATGGCAGCAACTTGGTGGTATGATAATCTGATGAACTTGAACTTCCTGGATACTCACCGGCTTTGCCTCCGTTAATGTTCACGCCTAGCTTCTTAAACTTTCGCAGTGTCTTTGAGTCATTCTTTTCCACCTTCTTTACGATGCCCTGAAAAGAGGACCAAAAGACGCAGCAACTTCGCCCAATCACAAAAAGAAAAGATCAAAGAGCTGAAAAGGAATAGCAGCGGACGGCAACTCAACTTACTGCAATCTGTTTGTTCCTCTGAGAATCGATCTCCCTGAAAAGAAAAACAAAATTTTCACATCACATGCGAAGGGATCTTAACTCGAAACAATAAGTGATGGCACTCTGAATACGCAATTTCCTGTATATGTAACGTGCATCGCCCTGTGCCTTCGTCAGTAAGCCGTGAATAGCAAAAGCAAACTTCCTAAGATAGTCTAAATTGCTGCAACTGATGAAAGCACGCGTTATTTCAAGCGATATTCACCTGTCTTTCCACTTGCTGCGGAGCACCCGAATCGGTCTGTTTCCGACATATTTGTAGTTCATTTCTTTGATTGCTTTTAGCATATCGTTAGGATCCATAAAGGAGACGAAGCCTGCATGCGAAGCCAACCCCACGATGAATTCGCAACTATATTCGCATTCCCCTCTGCTTTCTTTTCTGTCTGCTAAGACAAGTCAAAGAAGCCGCAGCGTGGCTACAGAAGCTGCTAACTCACCGTATCCCTTCGTCTTTCCTGTCCTTTTATCTCGCACCACGCGAGCCTTATCGAACGACTTATACTTGCGGAATGCACTGGCGAGAACTTCATCGGTGACTTCGTTCCCCAGATCTCCACAAAAGACTCTGCAACACAAACCATTACAGAGAATAGACGAGCCCCTTATAACTCATATATATACATAAATACGTATATACATACATATATATATATGCATATATAAATATATATACATATATATACATATATGTCCTCACCTGTGGTCATTTTCTGTCCATTCATCTAACGTCGGATCGCTCCATATATGTCCTGCTGCCTTTCTAAGGTGAACTTTTTTCTTTTCTGTGCTTGCAGACGCCATCACGCTGCCCATCGAAGCGGCCTCTTCTGCCGTCAGACTCTGAACCGCCTGAACGCACCAAACAATACACAGAGATCAGCAGAGAGGCATCAAACGAGTTGCAAATGGAGTAAAGAAAGAAGCGAGATCGCGCCTGATCCACGCAGTCCAGCTACTATGGAACGGAAACGAAACTTACACAATGCGTTGGATCCAGGGAAAGCTGAGCTCTCGGGTCTGGCTGTGCCGCAACAGGCTGAGGAACCTGCATTGCGGCTGCTGCAGAACAAAAAGACGCATGGCAACATATATATATATATATATATATATATATATATATAACGGGGGAGTCTTGAGACTAGGGCTTTGGCGCTCCTGCAGCGTGCGTAAGCGAAGAAAGAAACTTCTTATGAGAGTGCAATTGACGGAGAAGAATCGGAGGAAACTCACCATATTGCGCAGCTTGCATCATTCGTTGCATGTGCTGCATCTGCTGCATTTGGTGGAGCTGCTGCATTCCCGCTGCCTGAGCCACCTGCGGCTGCAGCTGATGGCCCAACGACGGCACCGGCATTGAGACTCCAGGGAGAGTTCCCGAGGGGAAAGCAGCAGCAGCAGTTGCTGCAGTTGCTGCTGCTGCTGCTGCTGTTGCTGCTGCTACTGCAGGCACAGCTGCCTGCGTGAGATGAGGAGGAGCCTGCATCTTAGCTGCGTAGCATCAAACAACGCAAGACGCACAACAACGGATCAGGGATCCGCAACAGAAAGTCAGAAAACAACTCAAAAGTATAAAAAGGTTTGTGCATTCATTCGTTATTCCCTAATTGTCGGGGGCTGCAGTTCAGTGCTAACAAGGCACGGGTAGGAGCGTTTGGGGCTGTATGAGACTGCGTGCAATGCGAAGGAAAGCGCATGCAATATGCATACTGTTTATGCTGACAACTTCCGCTTCCTAAATATAATTTATTTTGTCTTCTTGTATTCAATTTTCAAGAGGAGTACTACGGAAGTACCCAACGCACGTGCTGCAAGGGCACAGGCCCTGGTGCTTCGCAGCAGAAGGCTCACTACTAATAACATGGTTTCTCTGACTATGTTGGTAGATGAATGCTTATTTCCCGCAGTAGGCAGCCTGCATGTAAGCAGAAGTAGAGAGGTTTTCTCCAGTGTTTATGCAGACAACACACGGGGAATTGCTATGGCTATGCTTGCAGTGAAGGTGCCTCGTCAGCACTACGCGCAGCGCCGTGCGTTACAACTCAACTCAGGCCGCCTCCTATCCCCCAGCGTCAGGTCGGGGGACTGGAGGTGTAGGTAGCTGCCTCATAAGATTGCTTGGCTTGAGTCGTGTAGCTCGATCGCAGGGTAGGACAGCCTGGATAAGGCTCAACGCTCGTAAGACAACCACTAAGCTCTTGTTGATAATACATGAGAATTTATATAGATACATAGGTAAGCTAATAAGTAATTAGAGCATTGGGCTGCGGCGAAATATTTGGCTGTGTGCCTTTTTTTAGCATGGTCTACGTTGGACGACGCATGTGTACTTCCGTGCAAGCTGCCTTCTACAGAATTACTTAGAGTCAAGCAATTCTCTACAGTGTTAGTGCATGCAGCGGAGGTTGCCTATTCGTGGTTGCATGCGGGGTTGCCGTACAGCAGCAGTTGCAGGAAGGTGAGCTGCACTTCGTGAGACGCCGCACCTCACCGCACCAGTCCCGGCCCTTTGGCCCGCTGTGATCGGGAAGCCTGAGGGGAAGTTGGGAGCTTTTTGTAAAGTATTTTGCTTAAATCAATGACTGTACTGTAGCTCATGACGGCCCTCGGGTGCCGCCAAAGGCTCTCGTCACTCTTGGTACCTAGGCATAATGCCGCGGGGAGGGTGCAAGCAGCGAACCCCACAACCGCCGCTCGGCTTCTTGGTGTACGCCACCAATTAGAAGGAAAGCCGCGCTGCAAAAAATATGTAAACAACAGCTTTTCAGATGCCATTCCTAAAATATTCATTAAAATCTTTAGCCACTCTCTCCTCTTGCATGATAGTGGTTGAATTCGCCCAGCCGCTGGTCACTTCCAGGGGGAAGCAACCAACGGCTGGGCAAGTTACAGCCCTATAGAAACGCCAGCATATGCTTCCCATCCGCCAGGAAATGACTTCAGAGGAAAAGCACTTCATGAAGAATGCCTCTGAAGTTGCTATCCGTCCAGGCATGACGGGCGCCCGAAAGGAAGGGCAGTGAAGAAATTCTTTCCTTCTGTCGAGTTGTACTTGCGCCTTCAAAATGCGCCCGAAGAGCTCCTCTTGCTTTTAGTACCTCCCATGTTGGAAGACCAGCACTGATATTATGCCAAGGTACCGTTTTTCCGAAGCACAACATGAGAATGGAAACCGTCTGAGATGTCCCGCACTACAAGCTTACTTTCAGCTCTGCAAGGGAAGATGTTAGACCAGAACAAGGGAAACTCTCGATAAGGCTCTACACCGAGAGGTATCAATCCTTGGTGAGCAGAAGTTCAAACGTGAACATGCAGCTTCTTTTTTCATGGTTCATTGAGCAGCTCTTGTTCGGTGAGATACGAACGGTATAACGCTGTGGAATATATGTCGTCCACATACCCAACGTGGACGCTGCGACCTGTCTGTGTGCTGTTGCCAGCTGCCAACGAGCAGGTTTCCCTTCCCTGTTGGTGAAACTATCCCTGGCCAGCGACTAGATTAAACTGGCGGAGGATCTGCCAGGCCTGATTAAGGCATGCCAGTGTTGTTGCCCTAGCGAATTAGTCGAATCAGTGGCATTGATCAGCAGACTGCCTGCCTATCATCTTTGCGCTTCACCCTCTTCACCACGCGGTCGTCAAAGCTCGTCCTAGACAGCACTGGATTGTGTTGAAGCGAGCTTGTTGACGGTAGAGATGTGCGTTTTTCTAGCCCTTCAACTGCCTGGATCTCAATTTCCGCTTCAGGACGCCGGGGTCGCCTTTTCCTTGGAACAACGCTTGAGGCTCCTCCAGAAGTGTGCGGTGCATTGAGTGTCCAGAGGGTGGCCGAACAAGTGGTATCTCTTTGCTTTGTAGTACGTCAGGGAACTCCCCTTTCACGCATGCCCACTCCTGCTGTTATTCGGGTGTCAAATGGATCGAATCCCCCCAAAGCGCGGTCTTCATAAGACCATCACGACAGAGTGCATGCATTTCTCCGTTCTCCACTGGAGGGCAGACCCTGATCAATCACCATTATCTGAAGAGGGAGAATGGCTGAAGATGCTGACGGCTCTGCTAGGAAGGGTATATACGGATTTGGGGTTAATAAATATTTTTCTGCAGAGTACATTTTGTAACAATCAGTAGGATACACCAGATCATATAGCTGTAGTTGTGGGGTTTGCTGTTCTTGCCTGCTCCCATGAAATATGCGGTGTTACTAAGTGTGACGAAAGGGCGCCAGCTTACCGGGGACCGTCGGGAGCTGCAACAGCGTTAAACTGTCTAAGCAAAGATTTTCCGAAAAGAGGCTGACCACCTCTCTCAGTGTCCAGTCGCTCTGAGCACAGCGGAGCAAGGTCTTGGGGGAGGTGAGGAGCTGAGCCGGACTCATGATGAGTTGTAATGCACCTCTCTTCAAGTAATGTTCAAGTAATGCTGCAAGGCATCCCCGCATGCAAGCACAACAAAGCCTCCTTTTCTGCGTGTCCTAACACGGTGGAGAATTCCTAAACAATTCCAAAGCATTTACGGGGCTCTCAAGATGCTGTCTCGATGCAAGTAGAGTGCATATCCCAGCTGAAGACACGTTCCTACACATTTCAGGCGAAATCCTCTCTCAACAGACTCGGTCCCCTGTCCCGCTATGCCAAGGTCACTTCAGAATGTACGGGAGGCAATCAACTGCTCTTGCGGAGTTCCTCCATTAATTCATTGACTGTATTGAGGCTCACGACTGTCCCCTGCTGAGAACTCCGACCCTTGCTACGTATACCTCCAGGCTTCAGGCGTCTTGGGCGCTGTGCCCAGGTCGCCTAGCTGGAGTCTGGAGGGGAGTTTAGCTGTGTATTAGAGCATTTATTATAACTCGTTTGAATCCACAGCAGGCCAGAACTGTCCTTGCTCTAGGCAAAGGACTCTAGTAACGACTCTTGTTTGTAACTCTGGGAAGTTGGCGGGACCCTGAGGGTCTACCTCTAAAATTACCTTTTACCTATTATATTTCAGGAATTTAAAGCTTCGATTAGCCCTTTTTTCTTCAAGCATGCAGTACCAGTCGTAGAGTAGCTATTGGTGTGTACGTACACTCAAAATGCTCCGCCACATAGGCAAGTGTTGGTGGTGATGCTATGTGTGTAGACAGCATAGGCACAAGCATACAAGTTAATTGTTTCTGGATGATAAAATATAATTAATACCGAGGAATAAAGATGGGAAATGCAATAAAGTTTAGGTTCTTTATAAGCGTGTTTCCCTGTTCTGCACGCGGTCTTGTCCAGCCCCATTACTGCTGCGAGTGCCTTGTAGGCAGCCGTCTGTGTTTATTTGTTGCAAACTTCGTCAAACAAGTTGAATTCTTTAGGTAATCTTTTTGTTATTTATCCGGACGCTTCCGTTTGAATCTTAGGCAGAGAAGACGGCCAAGCATTCCACCGACCCCCACACGCAGGGTGTGCCGGGTGGAGTGGCTGCAGAAGAAAGCAGCAACTGTCTGGGGCTTTTCGTTCTCATGTGAATTTCTTTCATTAATTTCGTGTTTTTCGTCTTCAAGACGACTCAAGGAGTCCACAGATCCGCTGCAGTAATCCACAGGCGGCCGTTGTTTCCGCTGCGCGTCGCTTGAGCTGTACGTACACTCCGTTTGTTTGCATTTCGTGCTTTCTAGCTTTCTTCGCGGTGCGGTTTCACTCTACCGATTCAGATTCAGAGTCTTCCGCCAACTCGCCCTCTACCAACTTGGGGTCGGCTGCGTTGAATCTCTCCCCTTCAGCATCTAATTTCTATTTCTTCGCAGCAGCAGTTTGCGCAGTCTATCATCATGAAGGGTGCGTTCTTCTTATTTTATATTCAACGGACAGCGTTGGCCTTAACTGCAGCAGCAGCAGAACATGCATATACAGCAGCAGGAGGTGTATTCACTGCTTTTTTGAGATAGAACGCGCAGCAACAGGAAACAAGTCAACAGCAAGCGGTGTATGCAATGGCTTCTTAAGGCTGTGGTCTGTACAGGGGGTAAAAAGAGAGAAAAATATTCCGTCAAGTCGGAGGAATATGAAGTCGAAGATATCGTCGCCCACAAGAAAGAGAAGGGACTCGTGAGACAAATATATACATCTTGCATTATTCATTGCAATATATATATATATATATATATATATATATATAAATGTAGATGCAGATATATAAACATATGCATATGCATATACATATGTATATGCGCATGTGGAAAAACACATTTAATTTTTTTAAAAGAATTTTTCTTTAAAAATTTTAAAAAATATGAATTAAGATATTGTTATTTGTAGAGGCTTGAGCCAAGCTAATATATATATATATATATATATAAATATATATATATATATAATGCTTGTTCCTTTCTTTATTTTTATTGGCGTACTGCATGCATGCTGATTTCTTAGAGAGTAGCATCAAGCATTAGACAGATTAGAAGAGGGTTCGGGTGTATGTACACCTGCTTGCGTTTATTGCAGTTGTTCTTTGTTTTATTTTCATTTCATTCAGGATTATTTTAAAGTCCGATGGAAGGGCTTCGACGAATCCGACGACACGTGGGAGGTGGAGGTGAGTGGTGTTTTCTTTTTGTGTTTCATTGTCTCTTTTCTTTTCTTCCTTTTCTCTTTCTTCCTCTGTCTATCCATCTCTCTGTCTCTCTGTCTCTGTCTCTCTCTGCCTATTTATCTACTTATCTGTCTATCTATGTATATATCTACCTATCTATCTATCTATCTATCTATCTATCTCTGTCTATCTATGTATATATCTCTTGCTCTTTGTTTCTTCCTGTCTTTCTTTTTCTTGCTTTCCTTCTGTGTGTGTGTATGTGTGTCTGTCTTGCTGTTTGTTCTCTGCGTTGTTTTTGCGTTGGTTTTAGTTTCATAATGTCTTTTAAAGAAGGACCTTGTGCATATTATCTTGTGGAGTAATTAAGTAAAAAGTAATTAATATACTGCATTTAAAAAGTCTGCGCTGGTGGAGTTTGCTGCGGTGTACGTACAGTCGAATTTGGCTCACGCGCCGATGTTTCATTCAAAAATGCAAGATATGAAGTACGTCTTTTCTTTTCTCTGTCTTTTCCCATTGCTCTTGTAACTCACCACCCCTCCTATAATAAGGCATTTACCTTTGTGTTTCTTCGCTGCAGTAGCAGCAGCAGCAGCAGCAGCAATAGCAGCATCATAAAGCAGCAGCAGCAGCCACAGCAGCAAGAGAAGCAGGAGGAAGATATCATTTTCGTATGTTGTATTGTATGTGAAGATTGTGTGTATTGTTTGTGTGTTTTGTTTTATACATATATTATTAATAAAGGAAAGAGACGGAGCAGCGCGCAGCAGAACGTGAAGCAGAAGCTGCTGCAGCAGCGCATGCAAGGAAAAGAAGGCGTCAAGGTGCTGGGGGATCGGATCCCAGCAGGCCTTGCGGTGTTAATGAAGAAACAACTGAAGAAGATATGCACGAATATCGAATTTATGCAACGGGAACGAAAGTACCCAAAAATCATCTGCCTGGTAATCATACGCTTTTTTTTTAGTTTTTATTTAAACAGTTTATTTATTTATTTATTTTGTTTATTTGTTTATTTATTTATCTACTTGTCTACCTGGTTATCGTGCATTTCTTCATGTGTTTGTCTTCATAGTTTTTATTGATTGTTTTATTTATTTGTTTATTTATCTGTTTATTTGTTGGTCCGCCTCGTAATCATACGACGGAGCTGCTGATTGTTTTATTTATTTATTTATTAATAAGTAATTATTAATATGTTTGTCTTTGTAGTTTTGATTGTTTGTTTATTTATTTGCTTTGTTTTGAGTGCTTTGTTTTGATTGTTTTGATTGTTTTGATTGTCTCGTTTATTTGTTTTGCTTGTCTTGTCTGTTGTTTTTTTTTGTTTTTTACTTGTTTGTTTAAATACAATTAAATTACATTATCATTTGTTTCATTTACGTTGTTTTTATATCTGTTTATTTACCTCCGCTTTGTCTATTTTATTATTTTTATTTTAATTGTTTTGTTTTTTTTTGAATATCTTCTTCAGATGAACTCGCTTTGGGAAACCGATTATGCATCTTACGCTTTAAGAGGTCTTCGCATATACCTCCTTCTTCTTCTTGTTCTTCTTCTTGTTCTGCTTCTTCTTCCGTCCCCTCTTCTTCAGCAGCAACAGCAGCAGAAGCAACAGCAGCAGAAGCAACAGCAGCAGCAGATGAAGAGGAAGAAGAAGGTAGAGATATTACAGTTACGTACAGCATTGACGGGGCAGACACGTATACTATTCCTTTCAGTGCAGCAAGAAGATATTGCTGCCAGAGGCTGCTGTCTTATTTAATTAGAAGAACAACATTCAGAACACCCAGAGGCTCGCAAGAAACAGCTACTGTTGCTGCTGATGCTGCTGCAGCTAGTGCAGCAAACAAAGGCACCACCAACAACAGCAGCAACAGCAGCAGCACCACAACAACCGCCGTTAGCAATAACGACAGCGCCTTGCATTCAGCTGCTGCTGCTGCTGCTGCTGCTGCAGCAGACGACCATTCTATAGAAGAATGTACATCAAATATAACGGAAAATTTTAAAAAGGCGCAGACGTCCAACGCAAAAACTGCTGCAGCTGCTGCTGCTGCTGCTGATGCTGCTGCGGGGACTGGCAGAAGAGAAACCCCACACTTCAACAGCAACAACAACTGCAGCAACAGCAACAGCAACGGCAGCAATAGCAACAGCAACAACAGCAGGGATGCGAAGGACGGCGCGCTGTTCAAAGCTGAAACTGCTGCTGTTCATATTCTTTCTTCCGCTGCGGCACCAACAGCGGTAGATGCGGCTTAGGGGAGGGGCTAATGTTATATATATTTATAAATATGTACATATAAACATATATAAATATAAATATAAATATATATTTATATTTATATATACGATTGTATACAATCTTATTTTATAGTACTGCCGTTTTGGTTTGTTCGGTGAGCCATCAGCTAGAAAACACTTGGCGCAGCAACAGCAGGGTGCAGCAGCAGCAGCAGCAGCAGCAACAGCAACCTCTGCAGCAGCAGTTGCAAACCCTGCAGCGGCAGCATCAGCAACTTCTGCAGCAGCAGCAGCAGCCTCTGCATCAGCCGCTGCTGCTGCAGCAGCAGCAGCAACAACGGCATGCAGCCTGAAGGTGCTCAGCAGCCCTTTGGAGTATTGTATAGAGGTTGTTTGGTTGGATGTTGCTGCTGTGGTGTACGTACAGCAAAGGCGCGTAAACAGTTTGTGCATAGCAGCAAATCTTCGCTTACTGTTATTTATATTCTTCATTTGCTTCTCCGGCACTTCTCTACTTTCTACTTCAACACATTCTTCATTTTTATTACACCTTGTGGGATCATGCGCTGCTGCTGCCGCAGCAGCAGCAGTAGCAGTAGCAGCAGTTGCTGCAGCAGTAGCGGCAACAGTAGCTGCTGCAGCAGCAGCAGTAGCAGCAGCTGCAGCAGCAGCAGCAGCTGCTGCAGCTCGGCGTTGCAGCTAGTTAATTGGGTTTAAAGGGGCGGCGGGTGCGGCAGGAAGAACTGAGAGGGGAAGACGAAGAGAAAACACCAGCAACAGCAACAACAGCAGCAGCAGCAACATCAGCAGCAGCAGCAACATCAACAACAACAGCAGCGACGGAAACAGCAGCAGGAGCAGCATCCGCATGCAGGTGTCTCTTCCTTTGTCTCATATCCCATTGTACACTCCAAGGACAAAGACAGAGACAAGGACAGAGAGACAGAGAGAGAGAGAGAGAGAGGCAGAGAGACAGCACTGAAGCATTAATTGCCTCTCTCTCTTTCTATCCTAGAAGCTGCTGCTCTGTTGTATTTAATTTCTCATCTCTTCTTCTTACTATTCCCTACAGCCGATAAAGTTGTGGGTAAAAGATTTACAGTTGCAGGGTGTATATATTATATGTATGCTTCAAGCATCTTTGCATGCATGCGGTGTACATACACCTCAGTCTAGCGGCCCGCCGCACAAAAACCCAAACCTTCCGAGCTACAAATAAATAGTTTTCAGCTTTTAAAGAAAAAAGTCTCCCACTGAGCGCGCAGACGCTGGCGGCGTTCTGCTGCTGCTGCTGTTGCTGCTGCTGCAGCAGTTTTGCTGCTGCTGCTGCTGCTGCTGCTGCACTTGTGCTGTTGCTGCTGCTGGTGCATTTCTGCTGCTTTTTTCGTGCATCACCAGATAATATATTAAATCATCGCACTGTCTTCTATCTCCACAACAAGAGGGGCATCGGGCCCGCTCAGAGCTAAGAGAAGTTCTTCTAGGTTTCCTTCATTTGTTTGAAGTTTAAATAAAACGGCAACTAAGTCGCGCAGACGACTGGCTGCAGCTTCTACTGCTTTGTACTTGGGCTCTAATGCCTGCATTCGCGCCTCAACTGCCTCTTCAACCTCAGCTTCTGCTGCTGCTGCTTGTGCTGCTGCTGCTGCTTGTGCTGCTGCTGCTGCTTCTGCTTCTGCAGCAGTATCTTGTTGCATGTCTTCTGTTTGATTGTCTATTTCTGTTTTTTCTTTTTTCTTTATCTCGTATTTATCAGCAGCGTTCTTACTCCGCTGTCTTCCTGCTGCTACCACCTCTCCTCTCGCTGCTGCTGCTGTTGCTTCTGCTGTTTGTTGCTGCTGCTGCTGCTTTAGCGCCTGTCTTGCTGCTGCTCTATCCACAGAGTAACACGTTTCTAACAGTGCTGCAGCACAACTCATCAAGAAATTGCCTTCTTGCAGCGGACCTTCAGCAAATTCGTCGGGGGCCTGTTCAACTTGCACGCAGAATGTATTGAGAAAATTTTCATACAAGTCTGCAGCAAGAAAACAAAAAAAAAAGAAATACACTCAATATAATCAATAATATTATATTTTATATTATTGACAAAGTATATATTAATAATATGTATAAATGTAGATGTAGATATATGAACATATACATATGTATATATATACATATATATATATATATACTTATATATATATATATATATGTATATATTAATAAAAATATATAAGCAACAAACAATACCTGTTCTACTCAGAAAACAGTCAAAATGTATTTTTCATACAACTCTGCAGCAATACTCCTAACAATGCAGCAGCATCAGCAGCAGCAACAGCAACACTATCAACAGCAGCACCAGCAGCATTATCAACAGCAGCACCATCAGCAGCACCAAGAGCAGCAGCAGCAGCATCATCATCATCAGCAGCAGCAGCATACGAACCTGGAAGGAGGTAAACAGCTCTTTCAGAAGTTGTGAAGATATCTACGAGCCGCCTCCAATGTAGAAGCGAAGGAAAGTGGTGGCCTAAGACTAAAGCAATGAAAGCAATTTGTAGTTCTCCTAATAAAGATATATAGCCTTCAGGAAGCTCTTGAATAAGCTGCAGCAGAGTATCTGTTCTATCTGTACACTGCTGAGTAACTGCTGCTGCTGCTGCTGCTGCTGCGGCTGCTGCATCACCGCCACTACGACGTGTTGCTGCTGCTGCTGCTCTTGCTGCACGTACAGCATCTGTTTTTGCGGGTTTAAGATCGCAGTAAAACATTTTGCACGATGCTGCTTCTGCTGCTTCTCTTACTTCTCTCTCTTTTTCATGCCTTTCTTCAGCTTCTTCTCCAAATGCTGTCTTTGCCCTTTGATGTTTTTCTTTACAATCTGTTTCTTCTTCTTCTTCTGTTTCTTCTTCGTCTGTCTTCTTAAAGTTTAATACTTGTTTATCTGCTTCCACTGCCCCTCTTCCTTTGCGTAGTTTCAAGCGTTGCTGCTGCTGGTGCTGCAGCTGTTGCAGCTGCTGCTGTTGCTGCTGCTGATGCTGCTGCAGCATTTTTTGCTCTTCTTCAGTAAGCGGCATACCTTGTGCTTCTAAACAGCTTCCAATGGGTTCAACGCGTTTAACGCATGCAGCAGATATATGAGAAGTAAGCGAAGACCACTGAGCCCTCATAGACTGCGGATAAGGCCCTAAATTATGAAAGAAATCTGCTCTATAAACCCCTGCTATATAACGAAGAGTTTCATCATCGGGTAAAGGAAGAAACCGACGAAAAGTTGTTGACCATTCCCGTACTATAACTTTGCAACTGCGAGAAAAATATAGAAATTCGCCGCGCTGCCCTGTGCTGCCAATTGCTTCTTCTACTCGCATTCGGCTGTACGTACAGTCTTTATTATTATTATTATTATCATTATTATTATTGTTATTATTATTGTTGTTGTTGTTAATATTGTCTGTCTCGGTCCAGTGCAAGAAATGACAGCCAAAGTCTATCGACTTCACCCCCCGAAAATTTTCGCCAACTCTCCACTGCGCCATGTCTAAACCCACCAACAAATTGCGAGGAGTACGCAGCAGCAGCAACGTGCAACATCCATCCTTGCTGCTGCTGCTGCTGCTGCTGCTGCTGTTGCTGCTGCTGCTGGTGCTGCTGTTGCTGGTGTTGCTGGTGTTGCTGGTGTTGCTGGTGTTGCTGGTGCTGCTGTTGCTGCTGGTGTTGCTGCTGGTGTTGCTGGTGCTGGTGTTAATGCTGGTGTTGTTGCTGTTGCTGCTGCTGCTGCTGCTGCTGCTGCTGCTGCTGCTGGTGCTGGCTCCCGGTGTGGAAGCAGCAGAAAATGCGTCTTCTTCTGATTTTTTCATTGATTTTTATTTAAAGAACAAAAACAAATATAAAATAAAACGATAAAAGAAGAAGAAAGCAGAAAATACATCAATTAACAAACCTTCACAAACAGACAAAGCAATCAGACGAAACGCAGCGAACAAACAGAGCGAAATAATTCATTAAAAACATTCTGATCTAATATTTATTTATTTTAAATTAGTATTTATTTATTTTAAATAAATAAATATTAATTTATTTTATTATTTTTACTCTGTTTTCTTTCAAACATTTCTTTTTCTTCACTTTCCCCGCACGGTAGCCCCCAGAGGGCCCCACGAGTTGTGAAGAAGTTTAACGAAATAAATAAATTAATTTAACTATTTTAAAATTAATTTAAATTAATTATTTAAATTAATTATTAAATTGTTTATTTAAATTTGTCTTAATGTTAATCTTTCAACGCTATTCTTTATACTCACCACGCTTGGTGTTGTGTTTATTTTTCTGTTTTTCTTCGTTGCTTATACACCTTATTTTGTTTTAATATAATATAATTTAATTTAATATAATTTAATTTAGTTTTGTTTTGTTTATTTTGTTTGTTTTTGGTTCTTGTGTTATTGTTTGTTTGTTGATATTTTTATTAATTTTAGTTTTATTTGTTTTTGTTTCTCTTTTTTACATGTATGAAAACGAAGAATAAACTAAATAATAAATTAATTAAATCTTTTTAATACAAACAAATTAATTGTTTTATTGACGCACAACGCAAATTAATAAATATACAAATTAATTCTTTTTTAATGTAAACAAATTAATTATTATCTTCGTTTGTCTTTGATTTCTTTTCTTCGAAATCAAAGCACACAGACATTAAACCTTTATGCTGCTATAAAAATAATCATTGTTATTATTTACTATTATTATTATTATTATTATTACTATTATTATTATTATTATTATTATTACTATTATTATTATTATTATTATTACTATTATAATTATTATTATTGTTATTATGTCTTTGGCTTTTTTAATCTTTTTATTTGTTTTGCTTATATTACTGTGTTCCTTCTGCTGTATACCGATCTTTTAATGTTTGTTTATTTGATTGAATTAAACAAATAAACATCTCTATTGTTTATATAATTAAATAAAACAATAAACCTCTTTTTT